CCTAAGATTTAAGAGAGAGGCGAAAAAGTTTGGCACATTCAAGCCAGAAGCCTGTAGAACTGTGAGACCAAGAAGAACCGAGGGTAGAGTATGAGGGAGAAGAGAAAGGAAGGAGAGGTTGTCGCAAGAGTCCTTTGCAAGGGGAAGAGGGGAAAGAGAAGGAGCATCATGTGGGACGTCTGCATGAAGTAAGCGGAGGCGACAAAGCTGAACGAGCAAGAGATAACTTGCGTGTGGGAGAATAGTGACGCTCTGCTTCGTAGCTAGGGTTGTAATTGAACCGAGTCGAGACGAGTCGAACAGAGTATATCATAGATTGGACTTGGCTTAGTACAATTATAAGTTGTTCAAGTTCGACTTGAGCAGCTTGTGTCAAGCTTTCATATGTTGTTCAAGCTTGACTTGTCTAAAATATTCAAAACTTGACCTTAATTTGTTTATGACAAGTGAACGAGTACTTAAACGAGTTAAAATTCAAACACGTATCACGATTTTCATATAAAAAAAAAATAATAATTTTATAAATATAAATAAATTAATACTTTAATAAATCAGATAAGAAAATGAACTAACCCAAATGATCCAATCTAGTATCCATAATATATATTTTCTCACAAGAATACATTCTAAGTTAGAAAAGAAACATGAAAATAAGAGCAAAAAAAATCGAAGGAACTTGTATTATAAAATAACTTATAATGCAAAACCTTTCTTCAATTGATATAAAAATATATTAATATTAAATACATAATTAAATAAAATCAAGATAATAATATTTTATATTATATATGATATGAACTATTATCCAGATTAATAACAATATTTAACAAGTCACTTGTTGAACAACAAACGAGCTTGGTTGTGGACATAAATGAACAAGTTCGACTATGCTCATGTTTATTTAATTTAAGCTTCAAGCTTCTAAGATATGTTCAAGCTTCTTTATTTACTAATTTAAACAAACATGATTGATTCTTAATCGAGTTGAGTTTGAGTTATCGAGTGCATTGGTTCATTTACACCCCTAGTCGTAATCAAAGGAGGAAACGCCTGTAGATGTGGGTTTGCAGGAGGTAGTGCGCTAAAGATTAAGATCCACTTGAGCGTGAAGGAAGAAAGAATAGATGATGTTCGCACAAGTGAACTGTCAAACCGAGCCGAGCCAAAGTGAAGGTGAAGGTTTGTTTTTAGTAGAATATCTATATAAGATTGAACTTATAATTAAGTCGTAAAATAAGCTTTTATGCTAATTATAGTTAGAAAACATTGAAGAAAACAATATTTGGATTTGAGATCGAGGATCAAATCATCATAAATGAAAGGGTACAAAGAAAATAAAAGTTAAAGTTTTCAATTAATTAATTTAGACTTAATGTTAATTAGAATTTTAGTATTAACAAAAATTAAAACAGAAGAGCAATTGATTCAAAAAGATTTGAAAATAGGAAACATGAAAATTGAATAGGAGAGGAGAAAGAAGGAAAATCAATAAAAGTTAGTGTTATTTATAATTTTTTTATAGTCAATTTAATATAAAAAAATTTATGAACTACAATCAGCTAAGTTAATTAAAAGAATTGAACGAGATTGTTGAATTGATAGATGGAAGAATGGAGCAAGTGGGATAAATTCTAATTACATGTATTTTTCTTTGAAAAATAAATATATACTTTAGAATCTTGTTTAAATCACAATAAAATATTAGCATAGATGCTTGGAAAATTTAGGTAATTTAAGATAAAAAATAAACTAATAAATATTGATCAGATGCATAATGATGTTAAATGTTATGGTAAGAAATAAATATTTCAAAAAAAAAAGAGACGAGTAAGCAAATTTCATGAGTAATTATTATTTTATTGGCATTAATTTAGATTTTTAAAATTTAAAATATTACATTTGTTTGTACACATTAAAAGCTCCTCTATAACTAAAACAACATAAGTAAACATGAAATGATTGTTTTATGATTTTCATTATTTCACATTTAGTATTGTAATAAATGAAAAAAAAATAAATATATTTAATGATTGGAAAGAATTAGATACTTATAGATAAAATTTTTAACATTAAATCTATCAACAATCACCCTTTAAAATAAAAAAAAGTTGCAACTTTTTTGATAAAAAATGAAAATGAAAATGAAAATAAAAATTATTGTAATTTTATTAATACAATTTTTTTATGATGCTATTGAGATGATTTCTTAAAGAAAAAGAAAAATGAAAAATATAACCAACTAAGATGACAAAAATATAATCGATTAGAATGATTTAAATATTTTTATAAGAAAAATAAAAAGTTTACTTTATAAATTGATAATCATATTCTTTTGAGCATTCATTTAAGCATTCATATAATAATTTAGTACATGATAAAGTGATGTTTATTCACTAAATTATTATAAATATAACTGTTCTTTAAGGGAAAACTCTACTGAATTGACATGACTGATAGAAAAAAATTTTGGTTGTATCAGAGAAACTGTTGAAAATAATCAACAGGCTATTGGATTTTAGGTTTATTCACTTTTATTTTTATTATTGTTCAAGCTAGATAATCTGATATATTTTGGTAGAGATTGTTTATTTATGTCTTGCGAATTAGTTAGTCTTTTCTAGTTGAAAATTATTGTAATTATAGTTATTGTTGGTAATGTTTATTTTTATCATCAGACTATCCGTTCATGCCTTAGTTATTTCCAAGCTCCCGAGCCAAAATATGGTATAAATTTCATGTTATTTTGCAATAGACAAACTATAATGAGGAGTTGCACAAGGGAAGATAAAAATTTTGACGATATGAGCTTCAATAAGAAAATTATCCTAACACTTCATATCAAAATTAGGATGTTTGACAATAGATTGTTGATATCTGTAATATTGAGCCGAAAAAAGATTATCAATAACTATTATGACCAAAGGGTTAGATGACACCCTAATGAATTAAATAATATATACAAATATTATGTTATTTTTAAGATAATGAGTACTAAAAATAAGAAAATGAAATGAAAGTGAAGTAAATAAATTCATATATGAAATGGACTAACATAGTGGAAAAAAAGTCTAACATTTAATAGTTGTATTTGGTTCTAACAAACTATTATATTAATGCTTATAACCAAATTTTATCTATTAATTTTAATAAAATATATTTATTTAATATCGTTGTTGTATTAATGTTGTTGCAACTATGAATGCTAATGCTCATTTTAGTCACAAATCAAATTGCATGTTTTTTTTGTATATTAAATCTTATTTTAGAATTATTAATCTGATTGATAATGAATAATAACTTTTAAGGCTCATTTTCCTTGTATATTAATTGCGCTAATCCTTCCTTACAACTATTAATTAAGAATATTTGAAGAGTTCAAATGTAATATATTTGTGTGGATAAAGAAAGATAACTTTTTCTCACTCTCCTAAATGAGTAAAGGTTAGAATGAGTGTCTATAGAAAATATGTTGACTGAATTTTCCTCATCTGTCACACCTCTGTTAGACTAGATGAGAGTCTAATGGTTTTACTTCCCAAAAAAAACTTCCTTTAGCAAGCACCTCTTCCAAAAAGAATTTATAATACAACAAACTTGAATGTTTTTTATCCAAAAATTGACCCCAAGATAACATAACATGATTCACATTAGGGATTAGAAAGAAACATGCCATATCTCAATGAGCACTAAAAAAATGTCAGCAAAAGACTCATACCTAAGAGATGTACAAATTTCGCAAGGGACAATTCATGATGAAAAAAAATGGAAAATAAAATGGATTAGAAAATCAAGAGAACAATTACACTCAAGGATTTCACGAAAGATTGGCTTCTTGGGCTCTAATAGCTCTACGACTCTCTCTCAATAATCACTATAATTAATAACAACTATAGTATATTGGAAGCCAAATGATCCAAAAATGCACATAACACGTAATCGCATGACGAATTTAAAAATTAAGGTTTCCCACCACAAAGAAGCTTAGAACCTTCCTTTAAATTCTACCATGCTAACATTTTGTTGCAACAAATTAAAATATGACAAGATAAAGTCGTCATTAGGGGTGTCAATTCAGACAACAGGTCGAGTTCAGGTCCAACCTAAAACTTACATGAACTGAATATTATATGGGTCGAAAATTCCAACCCAAACTGTTTAACATAAAAAATAATAGTCATTCGGGTTTAAATCAGATCAATTTTTGGTTAATTTTGAGTTGGTGGTTCAAAGCGAATTCGAACTGAAAAATTGAACAGGTCGAGATATTTAACCTGAATCCGAATAAAAAATTATTCTCGTCAACCAGAGCCTGGATTTTTCAAGTCTCGTTAGGGTTGAGTTGGCGTGTCTGGACAATTTTGACACCGCTAGTTGCCATGTGTGATGCACACATTCTAATCCAAGGACTCCAAGTTCAACTTGTTGACAAGAACTAACGGCGAAGATGCACCTTGAAAAGGGAATAAATCTATCCATAGATTACACAATGACACATGAATCTTGTACACAAATGTATGTCAAAAGGCAGTCAAAAAGCACAATTCAGAAATTTCAAATCAAATGTTCAAGAAGTATGCTTTACCTTTACCTTCACAAATGTTTATATAAATAATAGCACATTATCATCATACCTAAATTTTTAGATCAGCTATATTAACACTCCCGCGCATTTCTATTAAGGAAGATTTACTTAGTACCTATGCATTTCCATAACTAACACCTAAACTTCAATTGTTACATACATTCCACCTTACCAATGTATAAAAAGGTGTATTCCACTTTTTGAAAGTTAAAATAATGGTATTGTTGATATGATATGAAAGATTTAGGAGTTAGATATGCAAATAGACAGAAATTAGGTGGAATGTAAGTGCCCCCTTCCATTAATTATACTCATGTATATGCAAAAGTGATAAGGATGCTTGAGCAAAACATGATGCAAGTAATATAAAATTTATCCAAAAAATCATGAAATATTGTGCATGAACTATCGCAGCTACCTGTCCCAGCTTGATCTCTCCTCTTTTTGGATTATATAGCACATGAGTATTGCATACAACAACTTGATTTCCTCCGCTTGATGGATTATGGCTGTTTTAGAGATTTCTCCATTTAGTGTACAATGGTTTACAAAAAAAAAATGCATTATAAGTGCATTAAACAATTTGCATGTTCAACAAGCATGAAAAGACAACTCTTTCTACATCAGGAAAGCACAAGCAATGTGATCAAAAGAGTGCGAAAGGGTGTGATCAGAAGAGAGTGAGATAATGTGATCAGAAAGGCACAAGCAAGCATAAATAATAAGAGGCATTATCACTAATAAATTAATCAAGATCAAGAAGGCAATTAAGATGTTAAGACACTGATAATAAAATTATGAAGAGCCACTGTAATGAAATATGAAGAGAGAATCTGGAGTATCCTAATTATGAGAGAAGAAAATAGGAGAATATGAGAGGAAACTTTAATTTCAAATCATTCAATCAATAAGCAAAATAAAAGCCAAAAATTCATATTTAAATAAATAGGATTACAGAAATAATATCAAATATTTAAATGAAATTCAATCCAATACAAAACTAAATCTAATCCTAAATAATTCAATTTTAAACCTAAAATTAGTTAAAAGAATAATTCTTAATAAATCCAGAAAATTCAATAAACAAAGAAAAATATTTTAACAAAATTTATAATTATTGACTTGTTTTCCATCGCCATGCCTAGGTAATAAACACACATTTCATGTCGAAGGGCCTAATTAAAAGCTCATTAAGCTGCAAAAAATAATAATAATAATAATAGATTGAGAAAATATAATAGTACCTTGCAGGCAAAACAGCATTTTCTGCTGGGAATCCCGTATTTGACTGGCAAAGAAAAAAGAATGAGAAGACACACATACAAGGAAAGTTTTTGAAAAAAAAAGGGCATTTACATACATAGCACACATTTCCTATGTATATACATATCTCACAGCTAAATTTTCATATTTACACACATAGCACTCAAATAAAAAATATTACTATTACCAATTTTTAAAAGTGAAGAACACCTTTTCATGCATGGTTTGAACTAACAGAGTGCTATGTATGTAAATGTGAAAGTTTAGGTGTGAAATGTGTAAATACATAAGGATTGAGTGCTACGTATATAAATTTCTCTAAACAAAAAACTGCTTATCTACCTATACCTCCAACACACAAATTTGGGCCACATTATCCCTTAGTCCAAGCTTACTAAATTCAATATGCTCTTCATGCCTCAGCTGAAATCTGGTTTAATAAAAATTAAAAATTATCTCTGAGATCGGAAATGTGAAGAAATCCCAAAAAAATCAGCTAGCTGAGACAAAAATTTACAATAATTTGATACTGGTGAGAAAAAAACAATTGCAAAAGCAATATTAGTGTTCAATTCCCATGCAGCTGAACAAGTAAAGGCCTCACATCTCCAAGTTGAATTTAGAGACAACCCAACCTTCAAAAAATTAGACATTGTAAAGGGAGACTTCCTCTTTTTTTTTTTATTCCACAATTGAAAGCAGATACATATTTATATAAACTCATATCTCTATAGATTATGAATAGTTTCTAATATAGAAAAGATCATATAATTAGATTTCCTCTAATTAGATTACCTAACATTAATTTTTTTTAATAAAACACCATTAGATTTAATATTTTCCATAACATAGATAAATAGTTTTAAGAGATAGGGAGATATTCTTTCCTTACTACTTCGCGTTATCAATCATATATAATAAGCATCCCCAAGCTTCTAATTAAAGTTGAGCTTATTCACGCATTGAGGGCACTCCAATTGAATCGACAACCTATTCCTACTACCTATGGTTGTTCGGCGCCCACAATCATGTGGAATTGTGAGTTTCATGTATCTTACTATTACCATGTCACTGTCCTTGAATGGGAGAGGCTCATCCCTTGTCTCTGAAAACATAAAATCATACGACGATAAATCAACAACAATAAAAATGACAAAAAATTGTAATCTCCTTGTAGGTCAATTTTATATGCATTGTCATTGAACTTCTTAACAATCCTGAATAGGTCATCAGGTTTAGTCTTGAACTTCCCAAATAAACCTGCAAGGAATTGCTCCTACATTCTGATTCATACCTTGTCGCCATCCTTGAAAATCATAGCTTTCCTAAACTTGTTAGCATGTTTCTGATTTGTTCTGTTTAATAATTTCCTTTCTCACCTACTCATCTAGGGTCTGAATATCCTTGACTCAAAACTCGGCGTCAATTTTAAGTTCAGTAGTTGACAATATGGGACAAACTCCATAGGTGAAAGTGAGTTCTGCTCGTATACAATCTCAAAGGGGTTGTGACCTCTAGAATGACTTATAATAAATATAGACAAACTCCAATTGACGAATAATCAAACGTCATTGCTAGATGTTCTTTCCCACCAAGCATCTAAAAAAAATTCCCAAATTGCGGTTTACAAATTTTGTCTGCCCATCTATTTGAGGGTCAGCTACAGAACTGAACTGAAGTTTTGGACATAATTTCCCCATAAAATCCTTCAAAGTGGCCGAGGAATTTCACTTCTCTATATAAGTAACACTATTAAGTATATCATAAAGGCGAACTACCTCCATAAAATACAAGTCTGCAACATGTGACACATCCATCGTCTTGCGGCAACGAACGAAATGTGTCATCTTGGATGAATGAACTATCACAATCATGGCAGAATCCATACTTTGTGTGCCCGGGATAAGCCCGCCGCAAAATTCATGCTCATGGTTGATTAGGGTGCCTCTGGAATGAGAAGGAGAGTGTATAGACATGCATTATGTCCTCCAACCTTAGACAAATGACATAACCTTTATCGTATGATGTGTCTCTTCACATCTCGTACTAATTTAGGCTAATAAAAATTATCTTTTACTAAGATAGGGCCTTGTCTCTAGAAAAATATCCTTTCGTCCCCCCCATCGTCACGCTCCTGTAAAATGCTCTCCGTTAATGAACTTTGAGGAAAGCACAATTTTTTCTGGAAGAATAAATATCTATTGGATCTGTGATGTTGCTCGTACAATCTATCATGGCACTGAGTCCAAATATCCAAAAAATCCTCATCTATTGCATATAAATCCTCAACACTTCAGAACCAACTACTTTAGATTGCATATTAATGACGAATAAGTGGAGACAGCTTAGTGCAGCAGTTATTTTGTTCTGAGTCTCATTCTTATTTTTTAATACAAAATAGAATGAGGAAATTTCCACCAACAAGGTGTGCCAACCCATTAGCTTACTCTTGTTATTCAAAAATATCAAGGTCTCTGGTCAGTATAAAATGTAAATTTATTCGTCAGTAGATAATAACTCCAGTGAGTCGAGGCTCTCATAATAATATAAACTTCTTGTCCTATATAGATTACTTTCTCCTTGAATCATGCAATTTGTCATTGAATAAAACGATAGGGTGTCCTCCTTAACTGAGCACAACACCAATGCTCACATTGGAGGCATCACACTCCAGCATGAACACTTGATTAAAATCTGAAAGTGCTAGAACAGGAGTTTGAGCCACATGCTTCTTCAAAGCATCAAAACTATTTGGACATCATCCGACTAAGCAAATCTATATGACTTGAGCTCCGTCAAGAGTGTAGTTATCGAGCTGAAATTCCCTATTAACCTCCTGTAAAAAAAATGAGACCATGAAACTAGCATACTTGAGTAAATGATTGAGGTCTGGGCCAAGCCGCAATACTCTCGATTTTCACTGGGTCCATCTTAATGTCTGCAATTGAAATAATGTATTCCAAAAAACATGTCATCAGTGTAAAAAAATGACATTTCTTCGGATAACCATATAACTGCTTTGTCTAAAGAATCTCGAAAATTTATCGCAGGTATGGGCTCCTTGTATCACTCTCTTCTAGCATCACTAAAGTCTGTCCCTTTGGCGTCTCTTTCATAGTTTATAGAAATATAGCACAAGGCATGACAGCGTCTATCTCTGTCTAAGTGTTCATCATTGCTAACTCTTTCAATGATAAAAGTACAATGCACCATTGGACCATATTAAAATGTTGGTATTTTTGTGGTCATCGTGTAGTGTACTCTTGTTGTACTGTTACAATTGGCCTAATAGAATATGACACGCATCCATAGGATGCAGCTTATCTCCAATTGAGAATACCACCAGACATCTCCTATCAAACATATCTCAATTCTCTTCTTCGATAGCTAAGAATGCTTTTCTATAATGAGGCTCAATTTTTTCATCATCTGCATAGATACCATATTTACACAACCGCCTCTATCTACAATTAAGTTGCATACCTTCTTCTTCATAGTATAACAAGTAGGGAAGATCTCATTGCTGGAGCCACTATTGATCCCTCTTAGACTTGGTTTGGAGACTTGTTGAACCATAATCATCTTACAATCAGCTGGAACTCCTCTCCAATCTCTTCTCCTAAGACTTTGCTCTATCTCCTCCACTACACCCTGCTCTGTAAAAGTAATTACTCTCATATTCGGGCACTTGTATACAATGTGCACAAATCCATAACATTGAAAGACTCCCTAGCCGAAATGGTTTCGAGGGCTATGGTTTGATCGATCCTCTTTTCCTCCTGTGTTAGCTTCTCTCCACAACGGGTTAGTTCGGGTACTCTAATTGGTGTACACTAGCTAACTGATCTGAAGGCTAAATCCTATTTGAAAAATAGTATCAACCTGATGTGATTATGTTGTCTCTCCAACTTTAGGGCTAGGGTATGGACATCAACTAGTGTCCAATAGAGCTTGTAAATGCATCACATTGCCAATGGATGGTCATAATCTCTTAAAATATCATGTTATGGTATTCTTCTCAAGCTCCACTAGTTCATACTTCAAGATAAGCTTAAAGGTTACTCCTTTACCAAGAGTTCTTCATGTTGTAAGTGGTAAAGCGTTTCAAGAACATGTTATGTAATGTGTTGGTAGGTATTTGTGTTGCATCTCCCTTTTAATCTTAGACAAATAGTGATTTTGTTTTTTCATCACACTGGTATAAACATTTCATTTTTTTTTTCACCATAAAGACACTTTTTTTTAATTAATAGCGACTAGCTTTACCTTTCAGTCAGGTAGAATGTTCTTGTACTCAAATTTCTGCTGCACTCTTTGGTGACACTCAGTGAACTCTTCTGAATCCATGCAACCGTAAAAATTTGATAAATCCACCTTTACTTAAAAATCACCCTCTCCTTCTATACTAAATGCAAAATCAAAGCGGCATCAACTCTTCATCACTCGCATTTTGAAGGAAAGGATTTCATCATCTCCTTCATTTGGGCAATCACCATTGTTGATGTGGGTGACGTCTCCTTTCTTTCAAAATCAACGAATCTTCACCATAATTAGAGAATTATTCACTGCATGTCCTCCATAGTAAGCTCACAAATACCTCATTATGAGTTCCTCCTTAGAGGCATGGTATCTTGTTCTTCCATATAAAATTTTGGCCAAAAAGAAATTGTGGTTTAACATTAGGGTTTAAGGCTAAGTGGATGATGGGATAAAGCTTTTTTGAAGGGGTATGAGATCAGGTTAAGAAATCTTGGTTTGGGAGGAAAGGAAAAGAAATCTCTAAAAAATTTAGCTTAGTTAGGTTCTGATATTATATGACATCGTTCTAGGGCTCCTAAAAACTATTTAGGAAGGTATTTAGTGGGGAAATGGTTGTGGAATAACGAGGCAACAAGAATATGCGAGATCGACGATGTTTGGAAGGGAATATGAGGCATTCGACGGCCGTCCGACTGGAAAACAACACACTAACGGTAAAACATCAAGGAGGTTCCACTACTTGTTCTTAAACAAGCTACATATACACCACTTGCAAAAGGTAGATGATACAACACTCCTTGAGCTGGAAACTAAAGAATAAAATCTCTAAATACACATGCAAAAGCTAGCTATCACAAAAACAATAAAATATACACATAAATAGTCTTCCAATAGGAATCTTAATTAGAGATAAAGAAATAAGAAAATAAAGGTCAGAAAATGAAAACCACTATCAGACGGGTCTATGGTTGTTTGAAATCCATGATTGCGAGATTCTGAAGATTATAGGTTTCACGCATCTTCCCGCTACAGCAACAAAGAAGCTCTAGGTTTATATCTAATTTATATGTTAAGATTTTGAAGATTATATATATATATAGTGTATCTCAATTAAGGTTGTATGGCTGTAAATATTTTTTCTATTTTGGTGTAGATTAGTTTACTTATTTTCTTCCAAGACTGGTTTATGTTGGGAACTTGATGATCTTTTAGCAACAAGACCAGAAAGAGGTAATCCAATATTTGAAACATGGGAAGTAGTCAATTTCTTGATCATATCATGGCTACCGTACTTAATTGCTTCTTGATCTCCTTCATATTATTATCTGATTATCAATAGGAAAAACAAACTACTCTAGTCACAAGACATTATCACAATGTATGTGGCTTTCCAGTGTGTATTGTAAGTGGTCCCTTCACTTCAACAGCCACTTATTACTTCAATAATCAAGCAATGTGCCCTTTAGTCATCAACGATGAGTCCTGCTTATTTAGCATGATTACAAGCTTTTAACGTAGAGAGCAATAAATTTCCTTGCAACTTGAATGATTCCTATCCCATCAGGCAAATCTTGTACTTTTAAGGATACACTCAAATTGTGTTATCTATGATATGAAAAAGATGAGCCAATCAAAGCAGCCTATAATAACCTAAATGATTGTAATTGAGAAGATCTTTAGGGATACCTAATAACCTAGAATTTTCCTTTTATGGAACTTCATCTAATGAAGAGACTAATAATAGGGAAGAAAATTATCCAATCACATGTCGCTTCACTCACCCCTTCCCTTCCAAGTAATATTCCCATCAATCTCTTATCAAACTAAAGGTTGACATCTTTGTGCCCAACGATGGATGGAAGATAAAAGAAGAAAGAAGACTGAGAGTAAGACATAGGTGGGCAACATGAAAGGATGAGGTAAGGGGCACTGAACGAAGTAAGATAGAAAATAAATTATGAAAGATAGAAGATGAGCTAGAAAAAAAATTTTAAATTAAAGGTAAGGACGAGAAAGGGATAACATGAAAAAGAGGTGAGCATTGGCAAAGCTAGGATCAAGAAAAGAGAAGATTAATTACAAAATGAGGCAAAATATCCAACAATACTTCATTAATCAATAACAAGGCATAGGTTCTATTTATAATTAAAACTCTTGGAAACAATTACAATAAACAAATAAACACTAATAATTTTAAATAAAATAAAAGTATAAAAAACTAAAGAATATAACTAGAAAAATCCGTAAATAGTTTAAATTAATAAAGCCAACAAAAATCATCTATCTCATCATCACTAAGTTAAATGACTTGATCAGATAGTCATCATCACAAAGATGTGCAATATAGTTTAATACTACATTTTAATTAAAAAAAAAAGAAATCAACAGTATTTTCCTAATTTTGAATCAAAACTAACCAACCTACAGGAAAAAAAAAATCCGTTCAGGATTGCAGATTTAAAAATAAAACGGCCAAATATTAAGCTGTGATGGCATTGAAGAACGTTGCAATCTACTTAAAAGTTTACACTTCTGATGAGCCTTGCAGCTTAATATAGCATCCTAAAAAGAGCTTTTTTACTATTATTATTTTTAATTTCTAATCAACACAGAAAATAAGTTCAAAAACTTTACCTTGAGAAGGTTTAAAATTTGAATGATGGTCCAGCTACTCTCCATAACAAACAATTACACTAAAACTTTTGTTTGGCAATTGTAATTCATAGTTGCTTAAGACTCCAGTACATCACCTATTTGTTCGCCAAAAAATTGCGCAGCCATCAACAGCATTTCCTGTGCGCCTCTGCATCATGAAAAGTACAAGGCAACAACATTTTCTTTGAATAATTTTGTTAATACCTAAGAGCAATAATACATATCAGAAAAAATAGAGAAAATTAGCAGCAATAATAAGAGCAAATTAGAATTAAGAAGAATGATATCAACAGATCAGAAAAAAAAATACGCATTACTTCAAAGAAATGTTACAATGATCAATAATCTTCCAGTCACAAAAACTCAATGACAGTTCTGGAATGCGGCAATGCTTACGCCAACCTAATAAAGCAATTAATCAAAGGATATATACATATCTAACATTAAGACATGCCACCCAATTCATATGTTCTTACATATCTAACACCAACTTTTCTTTTTTACATATATACCACCCAAATTTTTCATATCACATCAAAAAACCACCATTTTTTTTAACATTTTAACATTTAAAAAGTGAAATACACCTTTTCATACATAGGTAAGGTGGTATGTATGTAAAATTGAAATTTGGGTGTTAGATATATAAAATGATAAGTTACAACAGGCTAAATGAAGAGAAACATTAAGAATTATCAGCAACATATAGTTAATCATGGGACGTTGAGGATCATATCATATGTTGCCCATCAAGTCCGACTTGATATCATGTGGGCTCCTAAACATTTAGAAAATGAATCATCAGTCACCACATGGGAGACATTTTGATCATCCATCCGAAGAGGTGGAATTTATCTATATACATCTTCTGGTAATTGACAGATTTGGAGATTTAAGTATTGCAAAAATACTAACCAGCACACAAACGCCCAAGGCCCACTTTGATGTTAAGAAAAAAATAGGTGAAGCCCACCTATCTCCATTAAAAGAGGTATGCCACCCTCAACATTATTAGCCTTATCGCAATTATGTGGGTTTCGAGTACTCATTTTCAAATTGTTCATGAGAACTAAGTAGTTAAACATATTATTCACAAATAGTTTTGAACAAGTTTTATTCAACTTACCATGAACCTATTCATTCTCCTTCCTATGGGAAATATTTCCATACGGAATATACATGCAGCTCTGCATGCGTACTCCATTAACCCCGCAATACCCCAATAATAACCTATGAATAACATCAAAATAGAACCCGCGAAGGTTATTGGAAAGTTATTGAGGTAATATGTTATTGAAATTAATACCTCGATAACCTCCCAAATACTCCCTAACAACCGTGAAGCGGAGGTTATTGAGGGGTTATTACGCACGCAGTTGTGCGTGTGTATTGCGTATGGAAATATTTCCCCCTTCCTACACCTCAAATACTACTTCTACCTACCTATCGATTTGGTGCATTTTCTACCCTCATTGCACATGACCAGACTGTCTATGTCCATTTTTAATTACTCAATCTTCAGCAAATAAAGTTCCAAATATTTCTATATATAATAATTTCCTAGTTTGTTATTACTGATTTCACAACACTTTGCATTCTTATTTTGGTTACATTCAATTCAGGTTTCAACGAACTTCTTTTATGGGCCAAAACTTAGATCCACATGATAACACAAGCACAATAAACGCCTCAAAAAATTGAGCAAGGTAAATGACAACCATAAATCAAAATTTAATCTCCAAGTATTAATGTCCTTACAAGCTTGTTAACCACTAGCATTACCACAAAATGCAGAAAATGACGCACAACAACGTGAAATGTCTAATAGTGCAGATATACTTCGCATGCACTCAAGAAATAAAGTTAAGCACAAATGCAATTACAGAAAAAAAAAAGTTAGCACCATATGGAGATGAGAGAGAAAATAGATGCAGCATGAATCAATGTTTGAGCATATTGCTCCGATTATTTCAGTTTTTGGAAATAATTATCAAGCTCGGGATCTCATGGATAAAGAGTGGAAACATATGCATGTTTGTGGTCAAAGTAATTTGTTATTTTGTGGAGCCTAATTCTGGTAGTTGGAGGGTTGCTCAAGCATCCTGACGCTTACGCCTATTCTAATCTTCCGAAATAAAGACTTTCACAATCTGGTGCCTAAGAGTGGCGCCCTGTGCCCAGATACATTTGTTTCCAATTTCGGAAACAGAGAACTCTATAATCCAGCACTGAAGATCAGCGCCCGGACACCAATAACCGAATTTCTATAATTTAGTGTTTGTATTTTGGTTTCACTGTGGGAAGACTTATGATCGCTACGATAAAACGAACGAGCGAGGGAGTTCGTGGTGTTAGATTTCTATTCTCTTGTGCGATAAAGAAGGGAGATATTTCCTGAAATGTTTTAGGAATTAGAGAGGCTTGAGTGTAGTATAATTTGTACTATTTTCTTCATTCTTCATAGTAGATTTCTATGTATGATGTGGCTCCTTCTCTTTCCTTGTTTGTGTGCTTTTATTCAAAGTTTTGTTTCGAATTTCTCGTATCAGTTTCTGTCTTTTAATCATATATCTCTCAAAACAAGTGGTATCAGAGCTGAATTTTTTAAGATTTTTGGTTCAAGTGGAAGCAAAGGCTGACAAAGTGCATACAAGTTGGAGAAGTTCAATGGTTTAAACTTTGCTATCTGAAAAATACAAATTGAAGATTTATTGTATAAGAAAAAAATTGTATTTGTCGCTGAATGAAATCACCAAGAAGCCAAAATCGATAACTCTAGAAGAATGGAAAGTTCTTGATCGAACGGTACTAGGTTTAATCCGACTTTCGTTTTTCTCATCAGTTGCTCTCAATATTGTGAATGAAAAGACTACTGTTGAACTTATGACCACACTAACAAGAATGTATGATAAGCCTTCAGCTTCAAATAATTTTTTTTCTAATGAAAAGATTCTTCAAGATGTAGATGGTGGATGGAAGTCCGACAATTAAACACTTGAATAACCTCAATACCATGACAAACCAGTTGTGTTTGTTAGCATCAATTTTGATGTCGAGGCCCTATTAATCCTATTTTTATTATTAGATCATTGGAATGGACTGGTTACTATGGAGAGTAAATCTTCATGTAACATGAAATTAAATTTTAATAATATTATAGGGTTAGTGTTGAACGAAGAAGTTCACAAGAAGGCGAGCAGTGAAACTTCAAATACTGCTTTGAATGTTGATAAAAGGGAATCAATCTGGATAGAAACACAGGCAGAGGAAGATCCAAGTCTAGGAGAGGAAACGACAAAGGTGAACACTAAAACTGAGGGAAGAAAGATCACTTCAAGAAGAGCTGCAAAGCTCTAAAGATGGGTTGCCGGTGGAGGTCTAAATATAAAGTTTTCTGCAAATACTTCCACAAATGAAATCTAAAGTGACTCACTTCTTTTGTCCCTAGATAGTACTGAATCATGAATAGTGGATTCAAGTGTTTCTTTTCATGTGTGTCCCAATTTAGAGATGTTCAGAAACTACACTCAAAATGATCTATAAAAAATGTATTTGGGAGACAACAATGCCTGCAATATTATTGAAAATGGTGACGTTGAAATGAGGTTGTCAATAGGATCGGTTTGAAAACTGAATGAAGTTATACATGTTTATGTGTAAAAAGAAATTTGATTTTTATGAGTCAGCTTGTAAGATCATGATATATGACTATTTTCATGGGTGATTCGTGAAAGATGACCAAAGTGGCAATGGTGACAGCGCGAGGCAACATTGAAGACACATTTATTTGATCAATGAGATGTCTGAATCTAATGGTGTTGCTAGAACAAAAGGTGATGCAGGGCTATGGCACCAGAGCTTGGTCATTTGAGTGAGAAAAATATGAAGTCTATCCTTTCTAAAAACAAACTTCATGTTATAAAGTCCATGGATCTAGATTTTTGTGAAAATTGAGTTTATTGCAAGCAAGACAATGTTACATTTTATAAAAATGGGTTGTAAAGCCTAAGAAATTGGAGTTAGTGTAAACTGATGTATAAAATCCTACTCTAGTTCACTCTATTGCAGGTTTTCTATATTTTGTCACCTTCATTGATAATCACACAAGATATGTGTGTATTTCTTGAAATATAAATCTAATGTATCTGATGTGTTTAAGAAGTTGAAAGTCATGGTTAAGAATAAAATATCTTTGAGGTTGAAGTGTCTCAAATCAGATAATAGTAGCAAGTATCATAATCAGAAGTTCAGAACTTATTATGCTTCAAGAGAGATTAGGCATTAGTTCACTGTCCAAGGACACAATAGCCAAATAGTGTTGTAGCACGCATGAATAGAACTATCACAAAACATGTTAGGAGTATGAGATTACATGTAGGCTTGCCAAAATAATTTATGAGATTACATGAAGTAATGAACCCTGCTATTTATTAAATTAATAATGGTTCGTCAATGCCTTTAAATGAGGGCTTACCTAAAGAAGTTTGAACTGACAAAGAGGTAAATCTATCTCACCTGAAAATATTTCGTTGTTCATCATATGTTCATGTTGATGCAAAATCCAGAAGTTTAATTAAAATCTGGCAAATGTACTTTCATTGATATGACTCATATACATTTAATTATGAATTCTGGGAATATCATAATAAAAACTTTATTAGGAGCAGGGATGCAATTTTTTAATGAAATGAAAATATATTAGGATAATAACATAACCTGGGATTACCCATCAGCTACTTCTGAAGACCCCTCCAAATATGTTGAGATAGACGACACTAATGATCATGAAGATACATAAATGAAATATGCTCAATTTGATGAAGCGCATGAAACCCCTCACAACTACTACAAAAGGCAGGATGTCCAGCAAATCAAACAACCAATACAAAAATATTTTCCTTACTATTTATTGCTGACTCATGTGATGAAATGGAGTGTTATGACGAGGCCACCTAAGTTGAAGACTCAAAGGAGTGAGTTTGTCATGGATGACAAGATGCCGTCATTAATGTCAAATCAAACATAAAATAGGCAGAATTGTCAGATGGCAAAAAGTTACTACACAAAAAGCGAGTCTACAAACTAAAAAAAAGTAAGATGCTAGCAAACATTAGGAGACGGGGCCTATTGTGAATGGATTTCAGCAAAAGGAAGGAGTTGTATACACAAATATTTTTTCATGTAGCGAAGATGACAACTATCAGAGTTGTGTTAAGTTTAGCAGTAGCTAAAAATCAACTTTTGGAGCAAATGGATGTAATGATAGTTTTCTTACATGGTTACTTAGAAGAATAACTGTGCATGGTGCAATCACAGGGATATGAAGCTCCAATCACGTGCTTAAGGCACTCCTGATTGCATTTGTGCCAAGAGCTCCTTACACGACTTTTTTCTAAGAAAAAAAAGTTAAAATTTGATGTTAGAGGGATGAATGAGCATGGTGTTCTACAATACATCATTACTCCCATTTAATGTATTCCACACACCAAATATAGATCACTCTCTAAATAAAATCTTTCCTTATACTAAAAAAGCCTTCATTTTGATGGCAAACCTAATGTATTTCTATATTATTTCCTTTGTGTATTTTTTTATATACTCTTGGATTTATTTATCTTGTAAGTCTTGAGTTGGATATTCTAATTTTACTTTCTTATATAATGAATTATTCATAACACCTCACTTGGGCAAAGGTGACTTTATTTAAAAAAGTGATACTGATGATGACTATATTATATCATGAACACCAATGGAGTACATTTCTTCACACTACCTTGCATGTTCAAAGTAACAAGTTGGGTTCCCAAGTAGACTGCAAAATTTATACTCACTTTAGACGGACCATGCACCCAAATAATCATGTTCAAAAATCGGTTTTAGCTATTTTTATAGAAAAATATGTGATAAATTAAGTAAATCAAAGGAGAAGACATTCCTAGCAGTAGTACTATAATGCAATGTTTAAATACCAAACGAACAAGGTTAAAACAAATAGGATGAAAATTGATAGACTCAAAGAAGATTTTTAATTTCCATATAACACCCATAACAACATTCTATATTGATCATCATCATCGTACTTGTCCTTGACCAGCTTCACAAGTTCCCCATATGCAGTCACTCATAGTCATAGTATCTTTTGGTAATAACATAAACAGGGTAAACAATTTTTAAGAAATTTCAAGCTATGGCAACAACAACAATAATAGTAATACCATCTATAGAAACAACTTAACTTGAGCATAAGAAGCATGCTCGTGGTGAGAAAATACTTGTCCCACATTACACAGCCCAACTGATGCATAAAATGATAATAAAAAGGGATATTTACATACATAACAGACAATTCTTGTGTATTTACATAACTCGGACATAAACTTCTATATTTACATACACAGTTTACATACACAGCGCTTTGGTACTTCAAATCTATGCATGAAAATATTATTTGACTTTTAAAAAGTGGGATAAGTGTTGTTTTTTATGTGATATTAAAGATTTGATTGCTGTGAATGTAAATATGAAAGTTTAGGTGTGAGAAATGTACATATATAAGAATTGAGTGCTATGTATGTAAAACCCCTACTAAAAAAAACATAGCATTTACTAAATGAAATCTATCAATTGACAGTTGGGATCAGCTTAGCCCAAAACTCAATGAGCAAACACAATTTTCCAATTTTGGAAACCCCTTTCAATTTGTGAAATTACCTAATTAACTTGAAAAGAATGGACTCCAACAACCCTAACAGGGTACAAAGTAGTGAAAATTTTCCAATAATTTTGTCATGAGATGCAATTTTTAAATGCACTTATTTTTTTCACACATACACATTTAAATACATGCACACCGCATATGCAAGCACTTCAACCCAAGGCCTCTTGATTGAAAAACAAAGATCTCAACCACAAAGCTAAGGTGGCTTGCATTTTGTTATGAGATGTATTCAACCTTTGTTCATTAGGAAGTTAAACTGTTTGCTTAGAGACAATAAATCCAACCTTCCAGATGCCAGCATATCCTCGAATAGCCAGTTCCCCTTCCAGGTCACTGAATTGATCAACCTCCTGAAACAAAAATTAATAATAATAATAACAACAACATAATAAAATAATAATAATTAAATAATAATTTAAAAAATGCTCCTAGTAGAATTGGTGAAAAGGTGAAAAAAGATGGATATGACTAATGTATGAAACGGAAAGAAACACTAGAGATGAATCGCTTGCTAGGGGTTCAAACAAGCCAAGCTTGAGTGAGCTCAAGTATTGTTTGGCTTAGCTATTCAAGAAGACGAGACAAAATTTTATGCCTGTATTAGGCATGTTAACTTATCCAGTCAAACCACAAACATAAAGTCTAAATTATAGAATATAAATGACGCCATACATACATACATATATATATATCCATAAATGAATAAATGAATATTAATATGTGTGTGTGCATATCTACATATATACATATATAGATAGATACATAAATACATATATAGATGTATGCATGTGTGCGTATGTGTGTGTAATTATATATGTACACAAGTATATATGAATTTTTTCATGTATATAATTAAGTAAAGTGTTAAACGTCGACCATCTGATGATCCGATTAGGAGAGTAGATGTTTTAGATTCGACTTGTGTTAAGAAAGGCAGAGGTAGACCTAGGAGGACTTGGGCTTATTGTATAAAAAATTATCTTAATTTATTAGAACTAAATAAAAATATGAATGGAGAAAAAACGCAATGGAGAAAAAAGATTCATGTTGCCGACCCCACGTAGTGGGATTAAGGCTTTGTTGTTGTATTATTAAGTAAAGTGTCAAAATGATCTACAGACTATTTACATGAGGTTATTTTAGTTCCGGAGTCCATAAAAGTGTCAAATTGGTCCCTAGACTCTTTTAATATGGGCCAAAATAGACCATATTTTAACCTTTATGAAAAGAATATGGGGACTAAATTGACACTTTTATAGACGCTAGAACTAAAATGTCTCCCTATAAATAATCAGGAGTCCATTTTGACACTTTTCTCATATTAAATATACCTAATATTTTATCAAGCCAAACATGATCAAACAAGGCCCCGCTCATGTTTGACTAGTTAAAAGCATGAGTTTATAAAAACTAGTTAAGCTTTTGGAAAAGGCCCTTGTGCAATCAAATGCATGAGAACTGACTTTTAAATAAATTATAGATATCACAGTGCTTACAATCATTAGGAATCACTTCTGATGGCATGCAGTTGACTGGCCAAATTAACGGACAGAAATAAAAATTTTATTAGATTTTAGGGTATTACCATTAGGTATTAGAGACCAACGTGAAACTTAAGATGTGCTATTTCCACTGCAATAGTTTGAATATGATTACCTCTAGTACATTAATTTATTATGAGGTGTTTCCTGCATATTAAGATAGCAGTTTTTGCAGTACTTGCTGAGCTAAGATTAGCACAGCACACATAATTACATCTTTCCTGAGAAACTTTTCTCTGATATTTTAATATACAGAGAAAAGTGTTATATTATACAGGGTTTTAATCAAAATGAGACAATCTAACTAAAAAAAGCAAAAGTAATCAAAATGAGACAATCTAACTAAAAAAAGCAAAAAAAAAAAGGGGGGGACCATCTAATCATATAAATCAAAAGCAAGTAGAAGTACCTGAAGGCACATAATGTCAGGAGACCATAGTCCAAACTCTATGAATAGCCTTCTTTTTCGCCACTCCCAAGCCAATATGTGATTCGGTATGTGAAAGTACAAAGTGGACTGATGGTCCAAGGCAAGATAGTCCGCGAGAATATTGTATGAGAGGACTTTGAATCGCTCTGATAAAACAAAATGAAATAGTTGAGAGCAGCAAAAGATAAACAGGAATTGTATCATAATATATTGAAAAAATAAAATTAAAATGTTAGAATATTCTAATCCGATATTCCCATGATAAATAGGATTAAATGGAAAGTCTTTTAATTGAGATATAGAACATTTCATTAGAGGAACATATGCATTGAAATAGTTTCTTTTGAAGCCTTTGTAACAAGGCAAGTTGATGATAAGTAACGAATATCATAAAATCAGATAGAATAAAAAAAATTGTCCTTAAAAAAAAAAGCCTTTTTACTATTGAATAACGTCTTTGCAAATATAGGGAGAAACATATAGAAGTGCCAGCCAAATGTTCACAACGCTGCAAATTAAATTTCATGATCTCAATCAACTAGTTCACGTTTGCAATTTTATTCCATTAAGGCAAATCAACTAAACTTACATAGAAGTACTAAGAAAAGATTCTGCATACTAGTGCATTCAAGTCAGAGTGATTAATAACAAATAATTAAATAATCATTTTGTTAACTCATAATCAAAAACTCCATGTCAGAGTGATAAATTACAAAAAATTACAAATAATTCAGGTTATCTTTTTATAATAATAAAATCTGTTAAATATTAGTGATGTAGAAGGACGGGTGGCATCCTCAGCGTCATCAGCAGATCCGACTGAACTTCAAGATTCAAGGGATCATCCGCTTGCGAGATAAGTTTTTATTAATATGTGCGAACATGCAGAATCCCCTCTAAATAGAGGAAGATGTCTGGGACGAGTTGAGTAGTATCTGGGACTCCCCTAACAATGTCAAGAAGAAACATCAGGCATAGCAGAACCAGGCCTTAGATTGTAGGGGAATGAGTACCTCCTTACACACCTAAGACTCGGCCCCCAATACTGATTATAGGAGAATAAAAAGATTTATTTAGAGCATTAAATTAAACTGTAATTATTACTTCCTAACATTTTTAAATGTTAACAAAGGCAGATGCTTGGATGAGAGCTCATCGCCACCGGTGTATTAACGATAGATCTTGACATGTCCATGTAAGTTGAATAATTTTTTTTATATTTGTGAAATTAATTTACGATTTTATTTTGATGCTGATTATCCTTTATAAATTTTTGTATAATGAGTATGTGCGCTTTAAGAATGCCTAGAGTCAAAGCCCAATAGGAGTTGGTAGCTCCAGTGGTCAGTCTGACCAATCAAATTTTGAGATCTAGAGAGAAGCTACAGGAGGCAGAAGAAAGAGAAGATCTATGGAAGGATTTGCTTACGAGGCAAGACACTCTGTCTCCGATGAGAGGCTATCATTGGTTGATGATGAAGTCAGCAAGCATGTGGCTGCATTCACCAAGGAGTTACAGCCCCGCTTTCTATTGAGCTACTTCAAATGGAGTCGAGAATATCATCCTCGATGAATAAGAAGCATCGAAGAGAGGCTGGAGATTAGAATAAGAGAGAGGATTGAGGAGCTACAATATGAGGCAAGTGGAAGTGGCAAGAGCTATAATCAAAGAGGAGGACCGGCATGATTAGTTTTTTTTTCCCATTGTTTAAAGCTTGATTTGTACTCTTTACAGTCATTCTACGAAAATTCTTAGCTTGGATAATAGTATTAGATAGTTTATTTAGATTGATTGTTATGTTTATAATGATTTTATTCATTATGGATATAGTTGTGTTCTACTTTGTTCTGAGATGCTATGAATATATATAGCTACACTGTATTTTATTTTATAATTGCAGGTGTGTAAAATCCGTTTAATTATGACACTTAATATTTTTTTGTTATATATATTTTTTATTATCGGTATAATTTTTTACGGATTATCGATTGAAATTTTAATCAATAATGGTCGGCCAATGGATTTGCAGTCGGATTATAAGCGGCGGGTTCGTCGCTCGCAAATTCGATCATTAGTTTTAGAGATAAAAATATTAACCGGTAATTTCATAAGTTAGGTTGCCGACGGGGTCATTTGTCTTTGGCTAGCTACTCTGCTACTTATTCAACCGAAAAAAATTTCGACTGCCTTTAACCACAAATACGCCGAAAAATCCTTAATGGCGAAACATGTTCAATCGAAAAAGCATTTTCAGTCAATAATATTCTGGTTGACCATATCCACCATAATTTTGTTAGATAACAAAATTACTGGCTAAAAGAATCATTTCTTAATGTCAGTTTTGTTTGTTTTATTTGTGTTTTTTTTTTAATTCTGTTTTTTTTTTTTTTTTTTTTTTTGCGATTTCTATTAAGTGTTGAGCAACCACGATCCGTGTAAACAATAAAAAAATGAAGAAATATCATATTATAAAATTAATGTGATTATATACTTTATAAATAGAAATTATATAATTAATAAATAGATATTATATATTTATATAATGATACTAAATGTAACTAATAATTAATCTTAAAATATTATTGATATTAAATTATAATATTTTAATATTAAATATATAATTAAATAAAATCATATTAATCAACTTTTTTTATTTAAATAATAAATCATATATGATATGAATATAATTGAACTTAATATCAAACGTTTAATAAGTTACTTGTTGAACAACAAATAAGTAGTCACGAAAACAAGTTAGCTCAAGTTCATATTTGATTCATTTAACTTTTGAATTGTTAAAAAAAGTTCAACTTTGTTTATTTGCTAATTTGAACAAACTTAATCAAGTATTAATCAAATCGAGTTCGAGTTGTTTATCGAGTGCACTGGTTCATTTACAACCCTAAGTCTAATATGAGTCAAGTCGCTTCGATTTCAAAAGAAACTAGTTCATTCATGCTTTGATTTGAGTGATTGTGTGTCATTGAACTTAATGAGTTGTTCCGGATCTTGTCCAGCATTTATGTTGTCTGAGCTTGTATTATTAGGTTTGAAAATTTCATATCAGATTTGTTATGCACAGAATGCAAAAGGTTTGTTAAAACAACCAAGTGTACATCACCACTCCATAACAAACTTTACCAAATTCCATCTCTTGTAAGTTAGACCAATTATCCTTTCTTTGTAACAGACTTTCTTATACATGCATGTACAGGAACCTGAAATCAAAAAATTCATTCTCACATTCCAATCTTTTCACATCCTGCTGTGCTTACTGGGAGCAAGTTTCGTCTTTCTTTTTCTTCCTGTCTTTTTATTCTTCCTTTCCTCAATCAGATAAGTCATGGCATGGCATCTTTCTTCAAACCAGTAGTCTAAATCCTAGCCACCTATCAAGCAATCTCTCCATTCCGCCCATCCTGAAGTTTCTACTAAATCACAATAAAAAACCGGCATCTCACCAACTCTTCGCCGAAAACTATCCAATTTGGAGCATCTAATTTCTTTAATTGTTTCCCGCAATAGTTTCCAATCATTTTTAGATGGGACAACTGAACACCCTCCATGATATCTCACAGAAGCAAATGGACAATTATCCCCAAACCCATACTTCATCACATGGAAGCAAATTGATCAAAATATATCAGCGGCTTTATTTTCTGCCATAACAACCAGTATTCTGCCATATGTCCTCCATCTAGACACCACCAACACCATGTCATCTACTTTACTTCAACGCCTACAATCCACAAATCGATCAAAGGTAATTCAGCTAAAAAATTAGCTTCACCATATCACCATGAAAACAAAATTCGAAGAATCAATATCTCACTGAAGTCAAAACATTGGTTGATCAAATTACAACAGTTGGCTCCACAAATGAAACCTAAGACATCAGCCTTTACATCCTTAACAGCTTATCACCTACATATAACTCCTTCAAAATAGTGATACACACCAAACTCACTCCCGCTCATCCTGATGAAATGTATTCCTTGCTCTGCAGTGAAGAAGTGAATGTGGCAACAAATCTAGTCAAGGAACAAGCAGCTTCTCAGCTAGCACTTGTATCTCTCAACAAAATTGCACCAATTACAGGTATAGAAGTGAATGTGGCAACAAATCTAGTCAAGGAACAAGCAGCTTCTCAGCTAGCACTTGTATCTCTCAACAAAATTGCACCAATTACAGGTATAGAAGTGAATGTGGCAACAAATCTAGTCAAGGAACAAGCAGCTTCTCAGCTAGCACTTGTATCTCTCAACAAAATTGCACCAATTACAGGTATAAAATTGTGGCCGTATTCCATTTAATCCTACAAAAATAACCAATAAATTCCCACAACAGCAGTCGAATGACAACACATCCAAATAGAAAGTCCAACCACAACAGCAGCAGTCGAATGACAACACATCCAAACAGAAAGTCCAATGAAAAATTTGTGGGAAACTTAGACATTCAGCATTTACTTGCTGGCACAGATCAAACATGAGCTAAATTCCATCAAACAAATAACATAAAGCACTGATGGCAACCAACACATTTCCCTCCAATGAGTAGATACAGGACACAGGAGCTTCATCACATCTTACTCCACAATATTCAAATCTTCAACAGTCGACCATACAATGGGAATGAACAAATTACTGTGGACAACGGCATATCACTCCCAATATCTCACAGAAAAAAAAAATCTACCAACTCCTGATAGTAAGCTCCATCCATTCCATATTCTCTACACTCCAAACCAATCTTAGAACCTATTATGAATCCAGAAACTAGTTATAATATCTTTTGACTTTTCCAGTTACCAAATTCAGGACAAAACAACTCAAAATAACTCAACCTAAAGGAAGCACGAGCAATGGTTTTTACCCAGTTCAACACATTCCAGCTTTGCAATCAATCACTCGAGCTTTTGGCATAAAAAATTAGGTAACCTCATCAGGACATTCTTCATGTCATCTCCAAGTGTCATAGTGATTTACATATACTCTTTAATTCCTCTCCATATATTTCATGTATGTCATCCAAAAGTCATAGATTACCTTTTTCTAAATCTATATCCACAAGCAAATTCCCTTTTCAATCAGTCCACGCTGATGTATGGGGGCCCCCACAACCTTATATAAAACAAGTTAAAAGCATTACATACCTTTTATAGTTATACTTGGTTGTATCCAATGATATACATAACTATAGCACTTCAAACATTTATCCAATTCCAACAAATGGTAACGACGCACAATTTAATACTACCATCAAATAAATAAGAGCTGACAGAGGCAGAGAGTATACCTCATATGCCTTTCAAACTCTTCTTAAACTCAGGAAACAATCGCACTAAAGTTACCCATACAAACTTTACTAGAATAACAAAACTAAAAGAAAATATAGACAAATTGTTGAAATAGAGCACACACTCATTTATGATGCTAATCTCCCTCGTTATTTCTGGTTGGACGCTTCCTTAACAGCAATCTATCTCATCAACTGATTGTCATCCAAAACCACACATGTTGTGCCCGTTTCAAATGTTATATAAATTGAAACCCAATTATCAACAGCTACACATATTTGATAAATCATTTTTCCAATGGAAAAACTCACCTACAAAGACTAAACTTTATCCCCAAGCACCACATTGTATATTCATTGTGAGAGGTCATGGTTCAGGAGAACCATAGTGGAGGACTGTTGGGGCATTTTGGCAGAGACAAGACCCTTGCACTAGTGAAAGAGCACTTCTTTTGGCCCTAACTGACGAGAGATGTGGAGGGATATGTCAGACAATGTGATTTGTTATATGACAAAAACTAGAGGGCGGAATGCAGGCTTGTAAGCTTGTACACTAGTACCAATATCGGAGGCACATAGGTAGGCGTCAGCACGGACTTCGTGGTGGGTCTTGCGAGGACGAAGAGGAACAAGGACTCCATGATTGTTGTGGACCAATTCTAAAAGATGACATATTTCGTACCCTGCCACTGGACACTGAAAGTGTCACATATTACCGTTTTATATTTCAAAGAGATCATAAGATTGCACGGGATTCTTAGTATCATCACCACTGACAAAGATGTAAAATTTCTGAGTCACTTCTAGAGGACTTTGTGAAGGAAGTTAGGCACCAAACTCCAATTCAGTTCAGCAACTCATCCAAAGAGAGGCAGTCAAACAGAGGTAGTAAACAAAAACCTAGAAAACCTGTTGAGATACTTCGTGAGAAAGAGCATTAAGCAGTGAGATCTAATTCTAGCTCAAGCAGAGTTCGCCTACAATAGATCTGTAAGTTAGACAATGGGACGCACTCTGTTTGAGAATGTGTATGGGCACAACTCGCTCACGCCACTTGAGTTGTTACCGCTGTTTCCAACATAAAAAATCAGTGAGGATGCTGAAGAACTGGTTCACAAGATTTAGAAGCTCCATAAAGAGGTAGGGAAGGAGATTATTAAGCAAAACTGCAAATATAAGTCACAGGCAACAAGCCAAGGAAGAATGTGACATTTCAAGAATTAGACATCATGTAGATTCGGCTGAAGAAAGGGAGATTTCTGGTGGGAGCATTCAAAAAACTCAATCCCAGAACAGATGGACCTTTAAGGATACCACAACACCTACAAGATTGACCTGTCAAAGGACTCCAATGTTTCCACTATGTTCAATGTCGCGAACCTGACACCATACTACGAGGACCTAGAAGTTTCGACCAAGTCGAAGTTTCTCCAACCCTGACAAACTGACACGAGGTTGTAGGACTAAACCGATAGGTCCATCATATAGGTGTTGTTCCAGCGGGGAGGCTGGACCGGCCAGCCTTCTAATGGGGCGTGAATTACAGCCCCTACCCTCTCTCAATTTCCTATTTTATTCCCTTCTAAAGAGGGAAATTCCTTCCTCTTATATTCCTTGTCTTTTTTTATTTATTTTCTAATTCTATTTCCTAAATATTCTAATTCCTGCCCATTGTAACTACTAGACCTCACCTGAGCCATCATTTCCTCGACCTTTTGTTCCACTAATTGAGTTATGCCTTTTTCTGGTATTCTACTTTGAAGGGAGTCATATTTCCTTTGGCTTGTTTCTTCCACTTCGTAGGTTCTTTCTTTTGGTCAAGAATATAGACCATTTCTTGTCAAATGATCTCAACAGCTGGTAATGGTACCAGTTGTGGTGAATTGTGTAGAGTTGACAGTGTGGTCATCATTTTCTCAACATTCTTTTCAAGGAGATTGATTTGTTCATCGCATTGTTGTATATCCCTTTGTAATTCCTCTGTAACATCTTCTTCACTCGGTAATGGTACCTCTCGTGCTGAAGTAGCGTGTGTTTCTACCATTTTTTTTTCTAAGAATTTCTCTTCTAGCTCATCGGGAGAATTCTCTTTTCTTTCTTTTGATAATTGCATAATGTCAACTCTTAATTTCGTTGATCTTTCTTCAATTAAGTTGATAGTGTCTCTTTTAGAAGTCTCTCCTTGAGAATTGTTCACGGAAATGGCATTTGGTATGCCCATAACATCAGAGACTTCTTCCATGGTGAAAATATGAAGAAACTTTTCCGAGAAAAGAACATTGTATTCCCCCAACTCTACCCCCGTATTGAAGACTCTATTTCACATTGCAACAGCATAATATGAAGTAATCTCAGATTTCAACAAAACCTAATAAATCACCAAACTTAAATATTAATAGAACAGATAATCTGCACACAGATCGTAAGGCAACCACCCACCAATCGGAGACTTACCTTGGTCCGGAGCTGGCTGTGAAGCAGCAAAGATCCAATTCCTGTGATCAGCAGACTTTGGCGGCACACCCGCCCGGAAGGGCGGCACTGATGGCCTCCAGGGCCGGAACTGCTGCTGAGCGTAGCCCTGCCGATGCCGGTAGTTCGCAGCCCTCACGTTGCCGACATGCGAATCACCGCTCACCGTGGCATCAACCTCATTCAATCCTTGGCATCCTCGCGCCGTTGTTGTTCGGTCGCATAAACTACGCCGCCACTGATTCCGGCCCCTCGCCTGCAGGCAGAAAACAACAACGAAACATGATATTAGTGATCGAGCTAGGGTTGCAAATTGCGGTTGGTGAGCAAGATTGGACGATGCTTGGTACGTTAAAGTTAGAAGAAGACATGGAAGCTTTGAAGGTTCGGATGGATGTGACAGCTTCGATAAACTGTAGGGAACGGCACGATAGCGGCATCGTTTTAGGGTTCTAAGGCGACAAAGCTCTGTTGGACGCAACGCGAAGAACCATCTTTTGGGGCTGCTGGTACTGTTCCCATCGCCGGCCGCCGGGAGAGATAGGAGAGGGAGTGTAGCAGACCAGAGAAATATTTGGTGCGTGAGGGCGAACTTACATCAACCCACGTAGAGAGAGGTAGAAGTACAGAGTAACCAATAAAATCACCCCCACATGAATGACATCTAATAACATATGAATAACATGGGGGAAATATTTTCCGTGTTATTATGACATTTTTTTTTTCGGTCGCACTGAAAAATCACCCCCACATGAATGACATCTAATAACATACGGATAACATTGGGGAAATATTTCCCGTGTTACTGCGACATTTTTTTTTTTCGGTCGCACAGAATATGACGTGATTTCATTGGCTACGCACGTTACTCTACGTGTGTAGTACTGATGTAATATTTTTTCGTATTCTAGGATGTGTATATGCATTCCTTCTCACCTTTAAGTCTCCATCTAATGTAAAAAATATTGTCCTTCCCACCGGTGAGATGTATGATGATGTGGCGCCCGATGATTGTCTGTCCAGACGTGTGGGACATGGACGAACTATTCTCATGATATTCGTTATCTATAGTTACGTTGTATGTATTTAGGGACAACATTTGTATACATTCTCTCTATACTCTATTAACTCTTATTAGATGTTTGTAAGTGTGTTGTACTCACCTAAAAACATCGAATATCAAATAGTAGTTAAGCATGCATGTATGTACACTCACCCTCCCTACACTCTATCACATGTTATTCGTAGGACAGCAAATAGTATTCGAGCATTCCAGTATGCACACACTCTCCATACACTCTCTCACATGTTATTCGTTGTCGTGGGTGCATGCAACACACGGCACGAGTGTTGAATCCCTTTGGTGGGGCCCGCGAGTATAGTTTGGGCAAAGGTAGAGAAATATGTTGGAAAAGGAAAAATTATCAAAATAATTTTTTTTTAATTTTTTTAGAGTAATTTTAATGTCAAAGTTTATATAAATATTAATTTATTTTTCACATTCTTTATATGCGTAGAGAAGTAGTCTAAAAAAATTCAATTTAGAACAAATTTTTAAAAAATATATAATATAAAATTATTTTCTTATAAATTATCTATTAAAATGGGCTTAAGTAAATAATGAGGGGACTATTTTTAACATTTTCATTATATTTAGAAGTTAGTCTTGGATTTTTTATATGTTTGTATTGTTTATTGAAATTCATGAGTATAAAATTGATTTGAAAAGATTTATTTTCAAATCTAAACTTGATCTCTTAAATGAAATTAATTTGGAGTGATTTGATTCAAATTATATTGAATCATGTTCAAATAAGATTCAAATAAAATTTGAGCAAATTATTAACTCATTTCTATGTTTTTGTTTATTTAGTAGCTCATTGAGAAAAACAAAAAATAGGATAGAGAAGATTGATTGGGAGGAAGTTTTAAGGGGAGGAAGGAGGAGAAGGGATGAAAAAAAGATGAAAAGCTTAAGAGAATTATGTATAAGTTAATTTTCCTGTATTTTATGGCTCGTTTGGGACAGCTTATAAGTGTGTCGCCTCACCGTTTGAAAATATGTTTTGACAGCTTATCCGGAAACGCGGTTAGATTTTTACACTAAACGCAGACCGTTGGTTAAACCCCACGGGCCACATTTCAAGATAAGCTGCTTATCTAGATAAGCACAAACTGCCACAAACACACTTTTAATCTACGAATTGAGTTTGATTTGGGTTTTGAAGGAGGAGAAATATTTTCGAGGTGTAAATGTCATTTTAAGATTATTTAATTTTTTTCTAAAGTTGTTTGGTATAATATTATTATAATTGAAAAAAAAAATTGTAATATGGTTGTTTACAAAATATTTGAGACTTGAGGAATAAAAATTAATTGTGTATGATTAATCTTATGCATTAAGGGTCAAGATATTTTCATTCATGTTCTTATAGCTCATACTAATTTTCAAGGTCTTTTTCTTAATTAATTTTTTTAATTGTTTATTTTATTTTAAATGAACAAGGAAAAAAAAATATTATTCCTTTAGTAGTGCTCTCAATTGCATGATAATCATGACATATTATAATCTTTTCTTAAAATCAGACTCCATATTAATGTTATTTATCTCACTGAGCACTTAAGCTCATTACATGATAATCATAACGTACATCACGGCTGTATGACAGTGTTGCGTGTTCGCGCTCTACGATCACAGCCGCACATCGCAGCTGTCGTGCGCTCTCTGCACGCAATAATCGCTCCATTACATGAGGGAAATGAGCGAATTGATTCATAGTTACAATAATGTCATTATTTTAAAGAATGATTTACATTAAGACCACTCAAAAACTATTTATTTACATATTTAACACCTAAACTTCAATTTCTACATTTATTACACCTTACATATGCATGAAAAAAGTTTATTTCACTTTACAAAAGTTAAAATAACATTTTTGGTCTGATATGATAATTTTGGCTAATGTAAATCTAAGAAATAAAGTTTTTAAGTGTTAGATATGTAAATAAAAAAAAATTAGCTCGTATGCATGCAAATGCATCAATTCTAAAACAAAATGACACTGGCCCAAATATAGAATATCAACCAAGCAAATCCTAAAACAATATATTTTCATGCAACTACATGCGAAAAAATATTGCATCAGGACTCGTCACGTAGAGTTACGTGTGGAGTCCAATGACATCATGCCACGTGGAGGTGACAGAAAAAAAAAATTGATCCGGTAACACGACAATATTCCCCCCGTGTTATTCAGTGTTATTCAGTTATTCAGGGGTTATTGTGTTCTGAGAATATTCTCTGTGTTATAATAACATAATAACACATTATTAACATTTGAATAATATACAAAAACACCTGAATAACATGGAAGGAATATTCTCGTGTTACCGGACATATATATATATTTTTGCCACTGCCAGGTGGCTTGATTTCATTGGACTGCGCACGTAACTCTACGTGCGGAGTCCTGATGCAATATTTTCTCACTACATGCAGACCAAAACTTCATATTTACAAATCAACCCCCCTCCATCTATTTTTCAAATTCATTCATTCTTATCTAACACGTATAAATACATCAGATCGGTAGATAAAAAAAAAATCATGTGGATGGTTAATTTGTAAATATCAATGTTCGAGTGGTTAGTATGTAATTATCCAAAAGGAAAAATGAAATTAAGGAAAAAAAACAGAAATTAAAGAGCATAAATTACAAAATAGATGAATTTTTACAAAAGATTCACATTTTCTTAAATTAAATAATGATTAAATTTATTACTGACCACTATGTTTCACAATAGGGATAGTGCAAAGCGAATGGCGAAATTGTACCAGATATAATCTGAGAGCTTCTTCTATGTTACAGAAGACTCGGCCAGCAAAAGCCGCCATTTTTGACAGGCTGAATGTTGAGAGCAAGCTCCACTGACCTCCATTAATGGCGAACTTGAAGCTGCACAGAGAGAGAGAGAGAGATCATTCTATTCAAACGCAGCCTTGGTCACTCATAGCCTGTGCAAGGTTAAGAAAAGCACAGATGTTTCCACCATGAACAAGAGCTCTGCATGGAAGGGGATAAAAAAAAATGATTTTAGTTAGATTTCATTGCAAATTTATTTTTTTTTTACTTATTTATTTTGACATGAAATAAAGTGTATTCGGCATTCTAAAAATATATATATATTACTGCTTATAAAATCTAGCACACATGTGATAAGTTTGAACTAGTGAACGGATGTATTTACGTGTGCAACAATCAAAACACTGAGAATTTGATAAAAATGAAAAATATGGGTTTGGGTTTTATCATGAATTTTGATATTTGAGTGAGAATTTGAAAAGAAGGATGAAAAAGTGTGCTAGATTTGCGAACCCGATGTAAATATATTATTTTTGTTCGGGGATATTTGCATACATACAATTCAATTCCGATATATATATACATATCTAACACAAACTTTGCTTTCTACATCTATACCACCAAAATATCACATATCACGTAAAAAATACCACCATTATAACTTTTAAAAAGTGCAATTACGCCTTTTCGTGCATCGGTAAGGTGGTAGGTATGTAAGAACTAAAGCTTAGGTGTTAAATATGTAAATACATAAGGATTGAGTGGTATGTATGGAAATCTTCCTTTTGTTTATTCATGATAAAAAAAGTATTTATTTTTTTAAAATAAATTTAAAATAGACCAAATACATGTATTTTTAAAATATAAAAAGAAAAAGTAAAAGTGATCTCAAATATGTCCTAAACTATCCACTAATGACAAAACTTGGAATCCAAAGTGCAAAATACAAATCAAATGATGCAATTAGTAAGGACAAATTAGATAATGCAACATTCACTTTTACCAAAAACTACAACTAGTTATAGGAAAAGTCTCCCTACGATCCCTTTCTTAATCAAAATCATTGCATTTAGACATCTAACACCTAAATTTTCATATTTACATCTATAACAACTTAATATTAAAAAGTTGTGTATAAAAAGGTGTAATAGTGGTATTTTTCATGTGATGCCAAAGATTTGAGTGTCAACACCTAAATTTTCATATTTACATCTATAACAACTCAATATTAAAAAGTTGTGTATAAAAAGGTGTAATAGAGGTATTTTTCTAATGTTATTTATCTCACTGAGCACTTAAGCTCATTGCATGATAATCATAACGTACATCACGACTGTATGACAGTGTTGCGTGTGCGCGCTCTACGACCCCCCCCGCCGCACATCGCGGCTGTATGACAGTGCTGCGTGCGCTCTCTGCACGCAATAATCGCTCCATTACATGAGGGGAATGAGCGAATTGATTCATAGTTACAATAATGTCATTATTTTAAAGAATGATTTACATTAAGACCACTCAAAAACTATTTATTTACATATTTAACACCTAAACTTCAGTTTCTACATGCACCTTACATATGCATGAAAAGAGTTTATTTCACTTTACAAATGTTAAAATAACATTTTTGGTCTGATATGATAATTTTGGCTGACGTAAATCTAAGAAATAAAGTTTTTTAAGTGTTAGATATGTAAATAAAAAAAAATTAGCTCGTATGCATGCAAATGCATCAATTCTAAAACAAAATGACACTGGCCCAAATATAGAATATCAACCAAGCAAATCCTAAAACAATATATTTTCATGCAACTACATGCGAAAAAATATTGCATCAGGACTCGTGACGTAGAGTTACGCATGGAGTCCAATGACATCAGGTCACGTGGAGGTGACAGAAAAAAAAATCAGCCCGGTAACACGGCAATATTCCCCCCTGTTATTCGGGGTTATTCAGGTGTTATTGTGTTATAAGAATATTCTCTGTGTTATAATAACACAATAACACATTATTAACACTTGAATAATATACAAGAACACCTGAATAACATGGAAGAAATATTCTCGTGTTACCAGACATATATATATTTTTTTGTCACTGCCAGATGGCTTGATTTCATTGGACTGCGCACGTAACTCTACGTGCGGAGTCCTGATGCAATATTTTCTCACTACATGCAGACCAAAACTTCATATTTACAAATCAACCCCCCTCCATCTATTTTTCAAATTCATTCATTCTTATCTAACACGTATAAATACATCAGATCGGTAGATAAAAAAAAAATCATCTGGATGGTTAATTTGTAAATACCAATGTTTGAGTGGTTTGAATGTAATTATCCAAAAGGAAAAATGAAATTAACGAAAAAAACAGAGATTAAAGAGCATAAATTACAAAATAGATGAATTTTTACAAAAGATTCACATTTTCTTAAATTAAATAATGATTAAATTTATTACTGACCACTATGTTTCACAATAGGGATAGTGCAAAGCGAATGGCGAAATTGTACCAGATATAATCTGAGAGCTTCTTCTATGTTACAGAAGACTCGGCCAGCAAAAGCCGCCATTTTTGACAGGCTGAATGTTGAGAGCAAGCTCCACTGACCTCCATTAATGGCGAACTTGAAGCTGCACAGAGAGAGAGAGAGAGATCATTCTATTCAAACGCAGCCTTGGTCACTCATAGCCTGTGCAAGGTTAAGAAAAGCACAGATGTTTCCACCATGAACAAGAGCTCTGCATGGAAGGGGATAAAAAAAATGATTTTAGTTAGATTTCATTGCAAATTTATTTATTTTTTACTTATTTATTTAGGCATGAAATAAAGTGTATTCGGCGTTCTAAATATATATATATATATTACTACTTATAAAATCTAGCACACATGTGATAAGTTTGAACTAGTGAACGGATGTATTTACGTGTGCAACAATCAAAACACTGAGAATTTGATAAAAATGAAAAATATGGGTTTGGGTTTTATCATGAATTTTGATATTTGAGTGAGAATTTGAAAAGAAGGATGAAAAAGTGTGCTAGATTTGCGAACCCGATGTAAATATATTATTTTTGTTCGGGGATATTTGCATACATACAATTCAATTCCGATATATATATACATATCTAACACAAACTTTGCTTTCTACATCTATACCACCAAAATATCACATATCACGTAAAAAATACCACCATTATAACTTTTAAAAAGTGCAATTACGCCTTTTCGTGCATCGGTAAGGTGGTAGGTATGTAAGAACTAAAGCTTAGGTGTTAAATATGTAAATACATAAGGATTGAGTGGTATGTATGGAAATCTTCCTTTTGTTTATTCATGATAAAAAAAGTATTTATTTTTTTAAAATAAATTTAAAATAGACCAAATACATGTATTTTTAAAATATAAAAAGAAAAAGTAAAAGTGATCTCAAATATGTCCTAAACTATCCACTAATGACAAAACTTGGAATCCAAAGTGCAAAATACAAATCAAATGATGCAATTAGTAAGGACAAATTAGATAATGCAACATTCACTTTTACCAAAAACTACAACTAGTTATAGGAAAAGTTTCCCTACGATCCCTTTCTTAATCAAAATCATTGCATTTAGACATCTAACACCTAAATTTTCATATTTACATCTATAACAACTCAATATTAAAAAGTTGTGTATAAAAAGGTGTAATAGAGGTATTTTTCATGTGATGTCAAAGATTTGAGTGTTATGCATGTAAATTCAAAACTTTCGGGGTCAGATATGCAAATGTATAAGAATTGTGTAGTATTCATGTAAATGCCCCTTAAATTTATAATACTTTCATGATGTTTAAGAACTAATGACTAAAAAAAGTAGATTAAACATTGAAGTATAAAGTTACATCAATTGAAAGACGAAATGAAACCTAATGATTAAAGGGAAATTTACAAACATAGCCCTCAATTCTCATGGATTCGCGTATCTCACACCTAAACTATCATATGTTATTTTGATGTGGTATGAAAGAATTGCGTGCGGTGCCAAGAGCGTAAAAATGAAAGTTTTGGTATGAGATAAGTGAATCCGTAAGAATTGAATGATATGCATGAAAATGCACAATGATTAAGATTGGGTAAATTACATTTTGGTCTTTCATAATTATTGGAATCTCACTTATAGACCTCTGTTGTTATGGAAAAACTATACCATACTCCCTATTTTTTCAAAAACCTTTAATAGTTTGACCTTGTAGTGATTATATATATGTAGACAAATTTAAATTTAGCCCAAGAGTGATATTTGTCAAAAAGTGAGGGGCTAAAGTCAAAATTACAATAAATTTATGAATTCCATGTAAAGTTCTACATAAACTCTGCAGAAAATAATGATATGAATACTTACTCAGGGCTATCCTTCAAGATGCCATAGTCACTAGAAGCTTTGAGTGATCTCTCGTATGTCTGCTTCATCATGTCCTGAATACCAAAATAAACAATTTTAACCAGCGTTGTAATTAATTATAAAATCAATAAAGTTAATAACAGAGGGTTAAAATGAAAAATTGCCTCAAGAGTGATATGTGAAAAGAATGATGAAGACTTGGAAGGTCAACGAAAACTAAAGAAAAGCGATTTATAGAAAAATTAGAATGATGAAGACTTGGAAGGTCAACGAAAACTAAAGAAAAGCCATTTATAGAAAAATTGACTGTTGTAGAAATGAGAATGTTAATATATAGGGGCAATTACATACATACATACCACCAAATTCTTATGTATTTGCATATCTAACACCTAAAGTTTGCTTTTTTACATTTATATGACCAAAATATTTCATATCACATCGAAAATACCATCATTTTAACTTTTAAAAAGTGAAATACAGGTAAAGTGGAATGAATGTAAAATTGAATTTGAGGCGTAAGATATGTAAATACATAAGAATTAACTAGTATATAAGTATATTTGTAAAATTAACTTTTAAAAAGTGAAATACAGGTAAAGTGGAACGAGTGTAAAATTGAAGTTGAGGCGTCAGATATGTAAATACATAAGAATTAACTGGGATATAAGTATATTTGTAAATCTTCCTTATTGACGGAATAAAACCGAAGTGTAGTTAAGATAGATGTGAAGATGCTATTGTTTACTTTTGCGATATCTCCTCGCATGTTTAAACTGAGAATCCAATTCAGCTCATGTCTGTCATCGGGATATCTTGCACCTTTCATTAGCGATGGTAATTTTTTTTGGGGAGCATTTACATACAACCGACCAAATTCCCATATATTTACATATAAAATAAACTGAGAATCCAATTCAGCTCATGTCTGTCATCAAGATATCTTGCACCTTTCATTGGAGATGGTGATTTTTTTTTGGGAGCATTTACATACAACCCACCAAAATCCCATATATTTTACATATAAACTTACATATAAAACACCGAAACTTTACTTTTTACATTTAAACTACTCCAATATTTTCATATCACAACAGTAGTACCACTATTTTAACTTTTAAAAAGTAAAATAGACCTTTTTATATATAGATAAGGTGCCATATATATGTAAAATCTGATGTTTTGGTAATAGATATGTAAATACACAAGCATTGTGTGGTAAATATGTAAATCTTTCTTTTTTAAAAAAAATTACATGCTTAAGCCATCATCACAGGTCATTTTGCTTCTCCTCTTGATTAGGCATATCATCGTATAATTTTTGTGAGGAATTGACAGAAGGAAGATTTACAATAATCAACGGATCATTTCTCTGAAGGTGCCCTTAGAACCCACCAACCAATTTTCAAACACAATGAATGGATATCCTATGAGATGCTAGACATAGAAACAAACTTGTGAATGGGACAGCCATAAAAGGCATGGGGTAGAAATTTCATAATGGGCATTTACATTCATACCACCAATTCCTATGTATTTACATATTTAACAGCAAAACTTTTACTCTCTACATTTATGCCAATCGAACCCTTCATATCACATCAAAAATACCACAATTTTAATTTTTTATAAAGTGAAATACACCTTTCCATGCACTGGTAAGGAGGCATATATGTAAAAATTGGAAGTTTATGTGTTAGATATGTAAATACATAGGAACTAATTAATCATAGTTTATTTGGGCATAAGAAGCGAAATAGCAATGCTCAAGTGCTATGTATGTAATCGTCTTTCGAATAATATGCACATATAGATTTTTCTATTGACTACTAGAAGAGCCATACAAGAACAAACAATATAGAATCCACCAAATCAGTCCAAAAAGAAAGGGGGCATTTACATGCATACCAATGTACCACATAATTCTTATGAATTTACATATCTAACACCTAAAGATTCATATTTAGAGTAAAGAGCCAAATTAGTTTCTTGATTGTTTACATGGTGTCATTTTAGGCTCAAAGTATATAAAAATATCAAATTAGTCCCCAAACTCAATAAATTGGGGCTAAAATAGTTCTACGTGGGGCCTATTTCAACTTATATTTAAGGATTTCGATGACTAAATTGATACTTTTATGAACTACGAATGATACCGGAAGAAAAGACCCAAACCACAATAGCAACTTTCATTATTTGTGAAATTGGGTTACAACACACAAATAGAAAATAACATCACCAAAACATAGAACGACACAATCAAAACACCTTGAAAGTGTATCTCAAGGGTGGTGGAGGTTGGCCCGGTGGATCCGAAGGATTGGGCCAGCAAGGGTGAATAAGGGAGAGAGCCGACAGAGGTTGGAAGGTGAACTGGAGGAGGAAGGCAACGGGTTAAGATGGAGGGAAAGTTTGTTGGGCGATTGGGAGGTAGTTTGGAAGGTATGGTAGCAAGCTGGAAAGGGGGGACAACAGCTGGGAAGGCCTGGACAGCAAAGTAGCTGCTGTAGGGGAGCCAGAGGGCTGCCGAAAGGGAGCCTGAAAAGGCGGGACAGCAGGTTGCGGCAGCAGAAAGGGGGTCCGCAGTGCAGGGAGAAGCTGTTGGGGGCAGCCGGCGGCCAAGAAAAGTGGAGGAGAAACAGAAGGGAAGATAAAAGAGTAGATACAATCATCACCTCGGAGTAGAATACAGTCAGAGCACCACCAACTTCTCGAATACAACCCACAAAGGGAAAAATAATTCCACGCAGGAATCTGAAATCAACACAACAAAATCTAAACCCTACATTCAGAAAACAACAATTTAAAGACTCTCACAATGGGAAAATAGAAATGGAAAGCTCCAATAAAAAAAACACAAAAAAGAAAGGAGGGGAAAGGGATTGGCGGCAATGCGAAGAAAGTGGGATGCAGAAAAGGCACGGGACGGGGCATGCCCGTCAAGATTCTCATTCGGGCCGCTCGACCCGGGATTCCCCTGAACCGGCCTCAATTGGGCTAATCGGTTCACTAGCGAGAGTTACCGCTCCCACGATCCCGCTGCAGGAAAGCCCCGCTCCCGCATGGTCACAACAAGCCCCTCATCAATGAGACTAATATGACTCATTGCAAAGAGTTGGGACTATTTTGCCACTTCTATATTCATCTTTGCATGCATACCACTCAAATCATAAATAACACATCTCAAATACCACTATCACTATCTTTTTAAAAGTAAAATACATCTTGTCATGCATAAGTAGATGACATCAATGTGTTGAAAGTGTAAATATCAAACTTCGGGCATTTTGATATGTAAATGCATAGGAATTGTGTGGTATGCATGTAAATTTACCAAAAAGAAATGAGGATTAAAAGATTGAAAACAAAGTGTTTTTTGTGTAATTATCAAACTTTGGGTGTTCGATATGTAAATACATAAGATTTGTATGGTAAATTTGTATGGTATGAATCTAAATTTACCAAAAATAAATGAGGGTTTAAAAAACAACATGTTCGAAAATTAGTGAGCTACCTGTAATTTAGTTTCGAAATCCTCAGCTGACCAATGCATCAAATTGTATTCATGATTTAGCTCATGTTCCCCTCCAGCAACCTGAAAGCCAATAACTAAGAGCTAAGGAATCCAAAGAAATTTACCAATTCTCAAGCCTAAAAAAATTTTCTATCTTAAAGGAGTTGGGATCACTTTTATTTTTTATTTTATTTATATTTTTATTTGAAAAATAAACGTATTTGAAATATTTGATTAAGATATGATTATTCTTGAATTTATTTTTAGAAACAAAAAAATAAAAACATATAAAAAATACAATAAACAAATATATTTTTAAAAACAAGACAAAAAATAAAAACAGAAACAAAAAATAAAATTGATCCCAAACAAACCGTACCTTAACAAGAGAACCGTACTAAACAGTTATTAGACATAGTAAATTAGTCAAGTAGATCCTGATCCAGACCATATAAATGTAAATTAACAAATGAGTACAGGTACTTGACCAAATGATACAGAGAAATTAAATACAAGATAGAGTCATGGGCTTCCCAAAAAAATCAAAATTGTTTGTGATGCTGTGCAATGTAAAATACAAGGGGCATTTACTTACATACCACCCAATTCCTAATGTATTTACATAGCTAACGCCTAAACATTACCTTTTTTACATTTATACCGCCCAAATCTTTCATATAACATTTAAAAAATCACCATTTTGATTTTTATAAAGTGAAATACACCTTTTTATGCATAGGTAATGAGGAATATATGTAAAAATTAAATTTTAGGTGTTAGACATGTAAATACATAGGAATTGAGTGGTATATATGCAAAATCTTTCAAAATACAAAAACAATGTATAATGCGAAAGAAATTTTTGATGAATGGATTCGTGTGCAAAAAAACTGACAAAAGAAACAATTATTCCTAAAATAAGAAGAACCATTTAAAACCGAAACTTAAATATGCTAAACAATAATAAATCTCCAATAATCAACCACAAGGTTTTCTAAATCAAGCAGAAGAACCACAACTGAATTGAGGATCATGAACAGAATTTATAACAGGCATAAATAGCAGGATTGAATAAATCTAATCACTCAAATAAATAATCACTAAAAGTGCAAAAAATAATGAAAAGAAGAGCCAGATAATCAAAGAAAAAGAAAATTGCAAGACTGAAAATCTTCACATCAAGCAATTTCATTGAATAGCCAAAAACTTCTATAGATAGGGCACTCATTATTATAGAAGAATGCGATGCAACAAATAGAGAAAGGTTATTTTCATAATAGCAATTCTTATGTATTTACATGTCTCACAGCTAAACTTTCATAATTACACACATATCACCCAAATATTTAATATCACATTAAAAATAGCATTATTATCATAATTTTCTGCATAGGTTTAAAGCAAAAAACTACTGTGTATGTAAATATCAAAGTTTAAGTGTGACAAATGTAAATACATAAGAATTGTGTGCATCGCATGTAAATTTCCCAAAAGAACAAAAGGGAGATCAGCATACCCCTCCAGCACTTGCTGCCTTTGCCGGGGCAACCAAAACTTTTGCCTTCCTCAAAACATCAACAGCTTGTGGAGTACAAGGCATGTTTGAACCTATTCTTCCAAAAAAACAAAACATAAATGAAATTTATAATCAATTAGGAAATAATTGTTCCTAATAATTAAAAAAAGATTGAAAAATCAAATATAATTTATCAATTTATAAAATACACCTTCAATAAGTATCCGACAACCAGCATTGACTAAAGCAACAGCATCAGATTGATCAATTTCATTTTGCAAAGCGCATGGGAATGCTACATCACAGGGCTCTTGCCAGGGTTTTGCATCTTCAAAGTACTTGGCCCGAGGATAAGACTTCAAGTACTCTCTAGAAAATAAAAGAAGGATTTACATACATACCACTTAACTCCTATGTATTTACATATCTAATACCTAAACTTCAATTTTTACATATATGCCACCTTACCTATGCTTGAAAAAGGTGTATTTCACTGTTTAATAGTTAAAATAGTGGTATTTTTTTTATGTGATAGGAATTTTTTGGGTCGTATAAATGTAAAAAGTAAAGTTCAGGTTTTAGATGTGTAGAAACATAAGAATTGGGAGGTATGTATGTACATGCCACAAAATAAAATCACAGAAATTGCTGTTAGGTAGCTGGTGCCTTGATGTTGGAGATCTACAGAGAACATGAGGGAATGCATGTACCTAAGGCTTCTTTGTTGAGCCTTGATGTCCCTAAGGAGAGAAAATTTTACGAAATCAATACCATCATCATCGACGAGATAGCCTTTTGAATCTGTAAAGAAACAAAAACAATCATTATGCAAGAAATTACACAATTATGTTCCTACAAGAATACAAAACTTCCAGTGAAATGTGAGAAATGACAAAATAGAATATGGTCTTAAATGAAAATGAGGAAAGGAATCCAATATTACATAGATTTCATTAGAAAAATTATGACTTGTTTTCCCATCTTATAAACACTCAAATTTGTACCTTGTGGCTACCTAGACTTAGAGTGCAAAGAGAGGATCAAAGAAGCTTTAAATATATGAGTAAGCAAAATGATCTCTAGACTTACCGTGTTCATTTTCGTTTTAAGCCTTTTCAAGTGTTCAATTTAGTTCAACTAATCAATTTAGTCTTTATGTCAACTTTGTTGTTTCTCTAAATGAAAATTAGAGGAAAACATTCCATAAGGGTGTATTGAAGCTTTTAGGATCAATTCAATTAGTTTAAGCTTGTATTAAATAGTGAGATTGTTTCTAAAAGTTTAAAATACTATTATGAAAAACTTCCCACCCTCAGTTTTCATGTAAACAAAAAATAAAATTTACAATAGGACCAAATTTGCTTAAATTCGATGAGTTTTGGGCTCAATTTGAACACCCAAAAAAATTTGGGATTAAAATCCACAAATCTAAAATGCTTTGGATCGATTTTGATAATTAATTTAAAAGAAAACTATTCTATATAAAAAACCATACCAAGAGAGCATCCTAAATTTTTAATGTATATATTTACAATTAATTCACCTAAACAAATAGACAACAATGTCATGGCTTAATGCTATATGCAAAAGGGAAACTATTCCTACCCAAGCCTACCCAAGCATTTCTTCGTGCCCATGGAAAGGAGAAAATGAAAGCTCTGCAATGCATTGAAATATATGACCATAGTCAATGGAGCAAAAAAAATTTATGAAGTGTTATTGCAAACGTCAAAAACACCTTGCACAAACATACACATGTGGACACCCCAAAATATCATATCCTTGAAATGTTATATTTAGATTAATATATCAAAAAAAAAAAAAATGGGTACAAAATTTTGCCTTGAGCATTTACAAAATGAGACTATCATCTAAATTAAGAGAAAAGGAGCTGTGCCAAAAGACCCAAAATGTCATATCCATCACATAAAATGGGGTGTACTGTTTCATAAATTAAAAATTTTTCTGGTACTTGAAAACGACACTGTTGGATACTTCTCACAGAATCATACATTTGTTTTACATACTATTGACATTTTTTTAATGTAAATAAGGGAGAGGTCATACCATTTTAACCGTGCCAAAACGCCACCAATCTTATTTTACAACTTATTACTCCTTTTCAAAATTAATTATTTAAACTTTTCCATAGTTAACATAATAAAATGCTTTGGGCTTTATAGAACATAAAATTTTTCAGTTGCATTAGTTAGTACATTAGCAATATTATTAGTTCTCATTCTTGCACGAATCTAAATACCTTGTGGCAATCTCTTATACCCACACATTTGGAAACATGTCCGAATATGTCAGGTTGTGTTTGTCGATCTCATTCTTAGAGCAGGCACAGTCCTGCCTTTACGTGCATGGATGATAAAGATACTTGTTAGTCTGATGATCATTATTAGTTCAGATATTCATACGATGATTCAAAGTCCTAGGATAGTCAGCCAACCATATTACACAAAGTCTAATTAAATCTAGTGGTAATCTAACATCAATGGTTTAGTGCTGGTTAGAAGATTAAAAAAGTTCTCTATGGTGGTCTAAAACTCTTAAAGACGAGCTGCAATTATGATTGAATGTAACCTAATCCTTAGGCATAGTAGCTTAGGAAACCTCTAGTGTAGAGGATTTCATCTAATCTTATCTTCTAGTAAGCATTAGAGTAGTCCAAAGTGCATCATAGCGAGCTTAGTGAGCTAATTTGGTCTAATCAGTAATAACCTTGAGTTGATTAATACGACCTAGTCAAGCTATAAAGTCAAACCTAACATAGTCTAGCAAATTTCTTAGAAAGAGAATTAACTCTATCATGACTAGCCTAACCCTACTCCATGATGTTCCTAGTTAAGCTATATAGTCAGACCCTTAAGTACAAGAGATTTCAAAAATCCAAACCTAGTTTAAGGTAGCCTAGATGATTGAATAAACCAAAAATAAACACAATTCAGAACCCAATCACCTAAATGATTTCAAATCATCTAATCGGATTCAATCACCCAAACTTAATCAATTGAACTTAGCCATTTAACCTAGTCTAGAAACTAAAATATGCTTAGGACGATTGAGATAGTTAGTCAAACACAACATAGTAACCAACAAACCTAGGATTCAAGTCAGCTCCAAAATGAGCCTGATGTGGGCTTATGGTAGTTTAGTATATTTAGAGAACTGTCAGCCTATGCCATGACTGAATGTTTAGCCGAAATGGACCTAAATAGATAAAGTTAGCTTATTTGGTCAACTAAATGCAATTCAAACTAATCCAAGGTGAACCGAACCCAAACTACTTTAAAAGATTCAATGGGCCAAATTAATACTGCATAAACCTAAATAAGCCACCTGACCTAAGCATACAATTCAACAAGTTGGCCAACTTGACTCAAATAAGCAAAATTGAATCCCAAGGAACCCAATTTCCTTAAAAAGTTTGGCCTAACCGTAACAAGAATTTAATTGAATATCTATATCTATATATATATATATATATATATACTTGAGCATTTGAATCCCACGTCTCCATATTCCATGAAAAGCAGGAACTAACAGCGGGAAGTTTGGATCAAAGGGGAAGAAAAAAGAAGAATGAAGCTAGGGTTTTTGAATAAAATTTGTTTTTTGGTAATTTCCAGTAGTTTGATTTTGAATCAAAATGAAATGAGACTTGTACAACTAGAGATGATTCCGAGGTAAATGAATATCTCAATGCAAATTTTTAATTAAATTTGTGATCCGGAGTTAATCACAATCACAATAAAAAAGAAAATATTATTACTGAAAATAAATAATCGGTTACAATCAATATGCTTGAAAGGAAAATTGAAATAGCACGACATCCGGAAATTTAAAATAGCAACAGGCACGAGACAAATACTCAAACTATGGTGGATTTGACCGTGGTGGTAGTGGCCGTCAGGGGGCTTGGAAAGGTGGTAGCATGGGGGTAGCTGGACTGGACAACGAAGAAACAACGGCTAGGGGAGGTTGGGTGGCGAGAACAACAACTAGGCTGCAGTGAGGTGATTCTGACAGCTGAGATATTAGCAAGGAGGCACAGGGAATGGTTTTGCAATGGCAAGGCTGGGAAAAGTGTTGAAAGAGTAACTAAGCTGCAGGGAAGCAGTTCAAATGGTTAGAACAACAATGGATAGCAAGATGAAGAGCTTACGAGGCTGCAAAAATGAGGCAGAAGACAGAGAGAAGGTGGAGGAAGGTGTGGGGATGGCATAGCAGGGTGGCAACCAAGATGGCAAGCAGTTGGCTTCTAGACGGCAGGAAAACTGCTCGGAGAAAAACCAAGAGGGTTGTTCCCGGGCGGCTGCAGCAAGGAAGGCAGCTATGACAACAAAGGGAAGAATGCGGGGAAGGGGTAGTTGGGGATAGTCACCATCTTGGGGGTGAGATACAGCCCAAGTGCTACTCTTCCATCGGATACAACCCTCAAAGGGAAATATGAAATGTCAACGATTGTCCTGAACAAAACACAAGAAACAACTAACCCTAATACATCAGAAACACAAATATATAATATAGGATAGCGAGGAGTGGCCCAAGAGGACTAGTCGAGTCTACCGTGAAAAAAACCTGTTCTGATTCATTCCAGGCATGAAAACTGAAGTCGCATGGTCGCGGTATGATTCTGTGTCTGGTCCCTGTATGTGGGATCGCGGAAGACGTCTATATACGTTGCACTCCCACATCAGTCTCCTGAGGATAGGAGAGCTTCGACCCCATCTGTCAAAGCATATGTCTTCTCGTAGTATGGCGTCAGGTTTGCCCAATTGAATATAACAAAAAATGGCATAGTATCCCTATAAAGGGACTATTGTTATAGATTCTAAAGTGCATCCTAATAGAATAAGTATACATTCTCTTTTGGCACAATATGAGCTGACAATGTGGATAAAAGAGTATTCTCATGAATCTGGTATCGAGCCACAGAATTTGTAAACTGTTTCACCCATTTTTCATGCTTTACTAAACGTATCTGATAAACAAGTATGTGAGAAGGAATCAACTCTTTGAGGAAATCTATGACCGATTATGAAAGACCTCTTCTTCTTCTCTAGTAAAACCTAGATCCCATTGAAGAATCTTATTGCAAATCTCTAAAGGCGCTTTCCAACACTGTGGGTCATCCCTCCCATCTGACCATTTGTTGGTAAGAAAACTGTTGAACTGAATTTAATACCCAAATGACACCAAATGATCTTACAGAAGTAGCTCAAAAGCTCTTCATCTCTGATATGTTAAATCTAGCTCAGTAAAGGCAGCTCACAAGGAATTCTATGTATCAAGGAATCCTAAAATTCTCTTATCTGAGATTGCCCTCTTTATAGTATAGGCTCCTCAAACCTATGGCCCATTTGGATATCCAATGCCAGTCCTATTGATGCTCCTCAATTCATGCTAAAAAAAAGCTCGAAGCATCACAACTTTACTCTACATGAACACCCATTACCTCACTATCTTCTAGAATAACCTAGACTAATCCAGTGGGAGGCACTCTCGTGGGCTCCTCTTGAATCACTAGTGTCTCTTTCTCGTCGGCTTGAAATTGAGGCTCATCTTTGAATCCTATCCGGTGTCACTGTTTATTTCTTCAACTACTCTCTGATCAGTGAAAGATATCATTCACATGATTGTGCAATCTGATTAAATATGTCTAGTTTTGTGGCACTTAAAACACTTCCCGGATGGGGGGAATTTGGGAATGTGGATTGGTTCCACCTATTTTCCACTCCGAACCCGTGTCTCCTCAGGTAAGGTCTCGAATGCTCCCCTGAGCATACTCTTTTTTGCTTAATTCTAAGGTTGAATTTTGTCTGTAAGGCGTGTTGGTCATCCAGTGATGTTGCTTCCATTTTAAAGCTAGGGTTTGAGCATCCAGATGGTAATGAATTGGTAAGTAATGGCATTGCATCTCCCATTTAATTTTGGACCAAGTAGTGATCTTATCTTTCCCTCGCACTGGCGTACCCACCAAAATAACACAATTTTATTTAATTTGCTAGAGTCTAGTTTCACCATTCTATTAGGTGGGATTTCCTTGTATCCAAAAACACACTCCATCATCTGGAGCCCCTCGATGACCTTGCCCAGATCCAAGTGACCGTCAAAATATGACAAATCCATTTTTATTTCAAGATTTAGGCTCTGATATTTCAGGTCAACTCTTCAGGGTAGTGGTTTTTTTGGATAGTCTTCATTTCTCAATTTTATCGAGCTATTCTAGCACTCAGCAAAGTGGTCGTTGTATCTCTCATATGGTAAACTTCTGATTGGCATCCGACACTTATCTCCTCAGTGACATAATTAGCGCTTGAGTTACGTTACGTGGAAGAGAGTGTACAGATATGATATATGGAGTCGCCACATAACAACCTAATCATTGGGTTACGCTTTTTGAGACAGGACTAACCATATTCAAGTAATTTTGTGACACATAAAAATTCAACTTGGCACGTAATCAAGATATTGATTAGATTAATAGAATTAAAGAAATTTTAGTTTCAAAATCCAAACAAAAATAGATAGATCATAATTTCAATAAAAAATAAAGATATAAAAAATATAAAAATAAAAAAGACATTCCAATAATTTAAAAAAACATCCTTATTTAATTTAATAGATAAAATCTAGCTTTCATAAAATATAAATATATTTAATTTTTTTTATAATTTCAATCAATTTAGAGATAATTTAGTTATTTGAAAATTAAATGCAAATGTTTCATGTTCTAAAAAAATTATAGAATAGAAATAAAATTTTAAATATTTTGAAAACTTTATAATATGCGATCAACAGAAATTTCCAAATATGATACCATTTTCTGAACTTCCATGAAACTTTATTACAAACAATGATGATATTTATATTAAGTTAATGAATTTGAAATAATTTCTATTTAATTCCCAAATTTATTTCATGCATCAGATTTTGATTAAATTCGCCTTTTTCATGTATTATCAGAATACAATAGTTAAATTGTCAATTTTTTAAAAATTATAAATATATTTTCAACATCATGACATTTTAATATAATTTTTTTCATAATTTACAATTACTTTAGAAATTAAAAAAAAATGTAATTTGCATCTTAATTTGATTCATCTATCATATTTTGATTGAACTGCATACAACAACAACAACAAAAAAGCCTTAATCCCACTACGTGGGGTCGGCCAATTTTTTTACGATTGAACTGCATAAATTAAAAAAAATCTATCAATTTTGTATTTACTTTCACCTATCTTTCACAAAATTATAAATCTAAGCTGCTCGTTGATGACAGTTTTTATCAAAAATTAATTCTTTTCACTTCTTAAAAAATTAAGAAAAAAACATAAAAAAGGAACTAATTCAGGGAATTCAATTTTCTTGAGTTTCTTATATTTATGTTCAATGTTCAATTTTGTTCAATGCATTGTATTTACACCAAGTTACATAAGTAACATTTTTTGCTCTTGAAACTCACTCTTTTCTGCTCTATATCATCCAACTCTTTCTAATTATTTTAATAATATTTTAATATTCATTTATGATGCCCTCAAGAAAATTCAGAACAAGAGTAGCGAGACAACTTAGTATTAATTTTATACACAAATGTAACAAATTAAACCTATGAAGATGCATCACAACCTAACAAAAGAAAGTTCAAAACAATAAAAACCAAAAACATTAATGAAAGTACTAGTAAACACAATAAAGCAAAGGAAGTTCAACACGAAATAGAAATTGGAAAACATACAAGTTCAAGGGTCTAAATCATTACAGAGTTATCACCAAGTATCATTCCGCATATAGTAAAGTACTGTTTATTTTACTTATTTAAGCATTAATCAAGCACAAAACACTACCTGAAATTGTGATAGGTATAGCTCCACAAGCAAGAAGCTTCTCCAGGACATGCATTGCTATCTTCCCAGCACCACTCACAACACATCTGTTATTTAGAATTAGACATCCATAAATGCAGGCACAACAACATTTAAAATATATTCAAAACAAATATGATGTTGCCAAAATAAATGGAAAAGGCATTAATAAGAAAGAGAAAAATTCTGATATCAAAGTATCATTTCATCGACTAAGAAGTATCAACTTTGAAAAAGATGTATACAATTAAAATATTAGATCCAAATGAGCTACCTACTAAGACTACATGAATTATAAATGAGTTATAGAAGACCATCAAACAATTTGGTCGACACACGCCAATTATTATTAGTTCATTGACACATGAAATGCTCCAAACAAGATATAAGCAATATGTTCATTTAATAATTTCATTGCAAATTTAAATACATAGAACACAATGTTTATGTATTTACATATCTCACACCTAAAATTTTATATTTACACACACAAAACATTGGTATTTTAAACTTATGCATAAAAAAATGTATTTGACTTTCTAAAAGTGGTAACAAAGCTATTTTTTATATGAAATTAACGATTTGAGTGCTATGTGTGTAAATATAAATATTTAGGTGTGGGATATGTAAATACATAAGAATTGTGTGCTTTGTATATAACTGCCCCTAGTTTCATCTACTCTATTATATTGAAAATGTTGACCATTAACAATTATCTACATAAATTTTCTCATTTAGTGCATGGAATCCGTTACTAGTTTAATAAACAATTAAGACTAATCATATGAAAGGGTAAAAATGGTCCATTAGTGACAGGGGAAAATATCAAAGTTGAACTCGTAAAATATGGGTTAATTGTATGGCTTTGCGTGTTTTCTAACAATCTAAAATGTCATGTATAAACCTATGGGATTAGAAGACCTTAATCCTTTAAGCTCCTTATTCATATCTGCAAGTATAAGCCGTGCGAAGAAAACCTGCAAATAGAATAAGCTTTTTGAGCTCCCAACCAAATCTAAGAACTAATCAAAGCAAAAGAAAATTTAAAATTAATGCCTGCATATGCAGAACATGTTACAATTCCATATATATAGTAAGGGAAAATGAAAAAGAGAGACATGAAAGTAGATGAACAAAACTATGGTACCCTCATATTTATTAGATTTAAGTATTTCTTAAATAAGAAATTCAATTGAGAAAAAAATCATCTCATTCAAGAATTTAAAATTTCGAAATCCTTGGATGGATGCTTTCCCTCTCTTTCTAAACTTTTTAAAATTTTAAATTTGGACAGAAAACAATTTTAAAATGAAGTTGAAGAATATTAGTCACTCAAAAATGTGCTGAAACTACTTGTCTTTTTAAATCATTTTTAAAAGAGTTCAACTGAAATTTGAAAAGAGTATTATTACAGACATTTTATAAATCAATTTTTCTTTGGTGAAATTTTAAATTTTAATATCAAATGCAAGATATGACTTCACGATATTGCATTCAAGGCTACTAAATTTAAATATGCTATGAAGTTACTAAATTTATTCAGGTAAAAACAGATTAAGAAAAGCTGAAAAAATACAGATATAAAAATGCACAATAATTTTAAGCTGTGTGCATTGTAAGTGAATGAGATTTTTACGAAGATCAACTATAAAAGTAACTTGAATGTCCGACTGAATTTTTACTACGTAAAAGAATTATAGGGATATATATTTATCATTTTTTAAATATCTTTTATCAGCCTTGCATCATGGGATTTATTCCTCGTAAATATGCGTGTAAATAAAAATTAACAAAGAGATGCATAATTAAATACCAGTCCATAGCCAGTAGCTTCAGTCCGGAGGCTAGAACCTGACCAGAAGATCTTTGGTCCTGTAAAATTTCCCTGCATAAGCATAACAGGGAAATCTAACTACGATAAAGACAAGATATTATAGGTCACCATAAGCACTATTATAAACATTAATAATTTATACAAAACGAGAAGTTATGCCCATATACAACTATTTTATAAAAGTGAATAAAAACAAAAATCACTTCATCAAAGTATCAAAATCAATTTAAGTTAGCTTATTCCATAAAAAGGCTTTATAGAAATATTTGAAGTATATGATATCAAAATAGCTCAGAGATGACGAGAAAAATAATTATTTTAATATATTCAAAAAATTTTAAGAAATTTATTACTGTTTATATATATATATATATATATATATATTAATCCTCCTAAAAGATTTCATGCTGAAGTCTTTGAGTACTAAACTGAGATGATTTCTATAGAAAAAATATATATTTATTTACTTCTCAGTGGAGATTTCATGGGACTTTTATTAAGGATTCTCAGCATAGATACCAGACACGTGGTTAGACCAGCACAATTTTCCACTTCATTACATCGTATGCTTTTATAGTCGTTATTATCCATTTTTATGATTTTTGCATATTATGATTTATATGGTATGGATATTTATTTATTGGTATAATTATGAATAAATTCTTAAGTTTTTCTCTTTTATATTGATAAGGCTTCAGAAGATATTAGAGAAACTATTGAAATGAGAATGTTTCTTCTCTCTCTGCCTCGTTATTATCCCTCTCAATCTGACAATGTGCTTTAAGGCACTATTGCTTGCAGTCTTATCCTTTCTTTAGTTCTTCTAATTGCCGAACTCTGTCCTTCCTAGTATTGGTTTCCTTTCCTCCATTCTTCAACACCTTCCTCAACTCTGTAATCTTTCCCCTCAATTCTTCTTCATTTTGGTGTCATAACATAAGCTTTTAAGTTCGACATAAGCGACATCGCAGAGATGTAGAAAATGCCCTTATACAAAGTGGTTAGAGCTACGGGTTGCTAGGGTAGGTACTCACCACTTCGAGATTTTCACTAAAATTTTTATCCCTTAAAATTAGATATTCAATAATAATTCAATATTAACTATATTTCCAGTTTAATAATAATATTTATAATAGTTTAAAATTTGTTTAAGGAGATGAAAGATTTATGCTTGAATACTCGCCACCCCTTAACTCTTGATTTCACCACTCTTCTACTTAAGTTCCAGTTCAGCCACTACGTATACACCTTTTCCTAATCTCCTCAACCAAAAATGTTGTGATGCATAGAAGCAAGGGTAAAATGACGGAGATAATACATATATGGATCAGAACAAACCTTAAAAATTATAGATCATAAATCTTGCTTAGACAAAATACATCTTTAGCTAGTGTGCATGTATTTCTTCAATGTTCAAAAATGAAACAAGCATTTACTTTTAGGTCTTCTATCTCATTCCTTAGTTTGCAAAATTATTTCTCTTGGCAATAATTTTGAATCTAATAAAATTATTTTCTAAAATAAAGGGGTGTAAATTCCTTCTTTCAGTTATACTTGAAAAAGCATTAGAAAAACCAATAATAGTTGTATATCTATGTTTGTTTGGAATTGTAATGCTAAAAAAATGTGAAGGTAAACTTCAAAATTAATCAAAATTTTATACCTATTTTTTGTACCTAATGAAATAATAAATAATATTTTAATCATATATTTTATTAGCAAAATTTTGATATATATAAGTATACCTGTAAATATTAGTATATTCAATAACATGAAAAAATGATTAATTAATTTATTATCCTAAAACTAACTTCAATATTAGTATTTATAAAAATACTTTTTACTACTGACCCAATTATTGTACTGTAGAAATAAAAGGATTCCCACTTAGAGTGCATGTCGAGAAAATGGAAAATGGAGATAGTTTTTTAAATATTTTATATATAATGATATTAGTTATATAAATGTACAGTGAATTAAGCACTATTACCTGTACTTCCATTCTTTCAAATCCCATAACAACAAAAACAAACAAGTGAGATCTAGAGTGGCCATAGACAAAAAAAGCTAGGGTTTTGAAGTGAATTCTGCCTTCTGGTAAACTTATTTGGAGAATCCCACTTTGAATCGAAGTTCTAGGCTTTGAGGCTAGTATGAAAAAAAGTAATTTTGAGGTTCTTTTGAATTAAATTTGAGTAAGAAAGTTAGAAAATTTTACAAATAAAAAAGTATACATTTCATAGATCTATTACAAACAAACAACATTTCAAGGGAATGAATAGTAATGAGAAATTTGGTTTTGTGGTCAATCGTCAAATGGGCGAGATAATATCTAATTCAAGGAATAAAATTATTTGTCTTTTACATGAAAATTTATAAATTTGGCTTGTCTGTAATCTTCAAGTTAGAAAGTGCTTCACCATATACAGTGCATGCTATGTCCTACCAATTAACATTAAATAATTTCAAGTTATTTCAAATTATGACAAGCATAAATTTGAACAATTAAAAATTAAAAATTTGTATTTTAAAATGGCAACTTACACTTACGAGGTACAGATCAATGCTCACAATTGAATTGCATGTTAAAGATGAATAATACATGTATTCAAATGTCCAGCATTAAAATGATCTTAAAAAAGATCATGTTATATGGGTATGGTTGGCCGACCACACTAAGTGGAATAAAAGCTTGTTGTTGTAGTACATGGGAATGGTTGGCAATGATACTTCTATTACAATCTGTTTAATTTTTTGTATTTTAATAAGACAACTTACACTTATGAGCTACAGATCAATGCTCATAATTGAATTGCATGTTAAAGATGAATGATATATGTATTCAAATGTCCGGCATTAAATATAAAATGAGCATAAAAAAGATCATGTTATATGGAAATGGTTGGCCGACCCCACTTAGTGGGATAAAAGCTTGTTGTTGTTGTTGTTGTTGTTGTACATGGGAATGGTTGGCGATGATACTTCTATTACAATCTGTACATAAAATACGACAAAGGCGAGCTCATATAGAGACAAAACGGTCCTCAAAATAATATATTTATAATAACACGTACAAACAAGATGACCAAGGTGAGCTCTTACGGAGGCAAAAAAAAGTTATCAATATTCAGCATTGAAACAAAAGTTTTAACCTTATGATATGTGGTATAGATCTAAAATAGTCCACTACCTTATTATAGTCAATGAAACTAGATCCATATACATTATATATTCTAAAACTAAAATAAGATATTTAAATTTAAGAAATAAATAAAGTAAATAAATAAATATTATGAAAAGATGACTCTAATGTTTAAACCTGTAAGTTGACTAACATAGCACAAATTATAATTGAACATCTCTTCTAAAGTTTTTTTCGATAAAATTTTCCCTAGTATTACTATGTTAGTTATTATCCAAGTATGGCCAATTCTTAAAAATAATAAGCAATACATAAGAACAATTTATGTTTTATTTTCATTGCTCGTATCAAATTTTTGGCATATAATATTATTTCCATTCTTTGAAAATTTGAATTTTGCTTTAGAATTATTTATTTTGTTGAACTTTTAAGTTTAATTGAGGATTGGCTTTTGAAGAAATTATTCCATGGTTCAACATATAGTTTTGGAGTGAAATATTAAGCATTTTAAGGTAAGTATATAATGAAAGTTTGATATTGTGTAAATAAACTTCAATGTATGGTAAACATTGCTTAATCCAAATACATGGCATATTTTAGAATGCCTTCGCTCACTCACCATTAGATGTCTTAAAATCGGAAATTACATAATATGTTATGTTTGAATCTTTTAGGTGATTAAATTTATTCTTGCTTTGGTTTGGCTTGTATAGTTTCACAAGGAATGTTGGTGATAGAATTAGTCAACGGAGCTTAACCCACCATTATTTTGCTATATGTTTGACTAGGAGAGGTCATTATGAGACATGACAGAAAGTGGTATTAAAACAATTTAACTCTGGAGATTAAAAATATGAGATCTTGTTCAAATTTTGTGCGTTGAAAAAGAGATTAAATGTGATATGTTATTCCATACATGAATATGAATATAATAATATGCATTAAATGATGATAATGAGTTGTAGACAGTATGGCTGAAAGAGTACTCGTAGGGAAGGGTATCATCACTGAACGTGACAGAATCCATGCTAGCAATTTTCTCTGTCGGATCATGGAAGATAGAGCTTGGCAAATCAGAACCTAGGACAGCCTGGACCTTGCCTTTCTAAACTATTCCATTTCATCTCTAGGGACTGCAACAGGGCCGTCCACTTTTACGTGGAAACTGCTTTCATTGTAATTTTGTTTGGAAACATATAGATAGTGATAGTCCTCTTCTTTGCTTCGTCGGGAAGGATAAATCCCACATTTTACATGCAAGTTGCATTGTTTTTTTGTATTTTTGACCATTTCATATAGAATGCAATATGCAAATTTAGACAATCAGCTCAACCTAGCATTGCAGTTGAGATACTTGAGATAGTTGCACTTATGAAGGCAGCACTCTCAAAGCAACAACTATACGAGTTGCATGTCCCAAATCTTGTAGCGATGAAGTCCAGGAATACAATAAAAATGGTGATGCACATTGGGAAAAAAAATATAATCTTTGGTAGAGCCTGCAATGCTTATTCTATCAATAGCACCGCCAACAATACCTGCAATGCCAATGACTAGTGCAAGCACCAATGCCAGTGTAAAGAATTATAAATACATGAAAATTATGTTAAAGTCAGAAGCCGCTCAGGCTGAAGGGAGGAGTCAACGCCATAGCTGCAAAAAAATGAATAATTTAGATACAGAAGATCCTGAATAATATAGTGTTCTACGATGGGCAAGTATCTATGGCCATCCTTGTACTGGAAGGAGAGGCAGGGCATTGGTAGAGAGGCCAACATTTGGAGAAGCTCAAGGAAAAATCTAAAGCACTAATCACTTGGGATGAATTTCAGAAAGTGTTTAGAGATTAACCCGTTCCTCCTTCCACAAAGCAGGAAATGTAGGAGAATTTTGTAGCTTCAACTCAAGG